CGCTCCACAATATGTATTCAGCAAGGGGGTGTCTGGGCTATTGGCACGGCTCAAAAGGCCAGCCCACCCAGTGAGGTACAAGGGGGTTAATACAAAGTACAAAAGTGGCTCCTCACCAGAACCGAGGGATAAACCACTATTGTGTTACAATTGTATCACGCCGGGTGGTCTGGTCTTCGGGCCTTGCCAGCCGCCCAATTACTGTGTAGTACGATAGTGGTTTATCCCTCGGTTTTGGTGAGGCACCACTTTTGTGCTTTGAAATAGCCCCCTTGTATCTTGCCCGGTGGGCTGGCCTTTTGGGCCATGCCAATAGCCAAGACACCTTCTCTGCGCTGAATGTATATTCTGCCCGAGTATTGTGCCTTCTTTCCTCTTCAGGAAATTTCGGGAAGCTACAACTGTCTGTATTCCTGATATAAATATTTCTCTCAAATGTCGTCTGATTTCGTCTTCTGGGAAGTCGTGGGACGCCACAGCCGGTATTAAATCGTTCTTTGAGCAGAAAACTTATTCGAATTAGGGGGCTTCAGATTATAGGATTGGCTGTAACACGTAAAGGAAGGGGACTATGCTACATAGTTATTGTTAATAGGTTGACTGATGACACTGTCCACTTAGTAGCTCGGAGCAATAACCACGTTTGAAACTCAAAGTCCATATGCGTGATTAAGCTGTTTGTGCAAAAATCCTCAAACGGGTGAGCCCTCAAATATCGTCACTATGCGTCCTCTCGGTAGCATGGCCTTTGAGACATGATGGCAAATATTCTACCCTTCTGAGCATTTTCACTACATATCCTATCCTAGTGCTATGGCTTCTGGCTTTTGTAACTTACGATTGTATAGATCTCGCATTTGCTGAAGAGCGACTTCTAACTAAGGTTATTGTACCACAGCGGGTGACCTAGCCTTCAGACCAGGCCAGTAGCCCAAATACTTTCTGCATGCCACATATATGTATTCTGACAGTATTATGGCTTCATTCGTCTTCAAGTAAGTCTCAGGGCAATACACCGTTTTAGAAATGGTTCAGAAGACTGCAATGACTTTGAGGGAAGCAAACTGTATCAATCACTTTAAAACAGTTAATTTTTTTTTAATTTTGCGCAAGCATTGTGGTTAGAGAGGTACTTTTCATTTTGGCAATTTGTTTTTCTCCTGTGGTCTTATTAGACCACTACACCCTAGAAAAAGCGCATGAGAGTAATCAAAGGCTAAGGTGTTATAAAAAAGCTTCGCAAATAAATCAAAAGCACAAAGTGCAAATACTGAATAAGATCTGTAGTTGAGTGAATGAATTAGTGGGTTCTACTTCCGACAATTCTGTCATAAATCTTCAAATTTTAAAATTTTATTGTGTTTAAAGTTTCTTTTTGTGAAAAGTTGTCATATACTTTTTAAGCTAATACGTTATTGTTTTGGAACTTGGTTTTTGTTTTAGTTCGCTCCCAGGCAGCGGCCCTAATTGATTGTTCGGTGGGGTCTCGCACGGTTTTTTAATCCGGCCCATCACGCGCGGCATGAGCGAGATTAGGACCGTATTGGTCCCACAAAATCGAAGGGGTCCTTTAAAAGAACAATGGAAATCAATTGCAGAGGTTCGGATGTTTTTTCGGTCCTCAAATTGGAAAAACATGCACTCAACTAGTCTATTTCTTTTTTCGTGCTTGGAATGTTTTTTAGTTTAAGTGGTATGGACAAGTGTAGGGTACTTGATTTCTTTTTGTCTATTTATCGTTCTTTCGGCTCACCTAGAATCCGTCGCCTTAATCTTGATATTGGTGTGTGTTGCATCAAAGCGGAACTGACATTGCATACAAATGTCGTATGTTACACATCCGTGGTCTCCCTTTTTTTACCACGCTTGTATTTTGCAGATTTTGACGAAGCAGTTGAAGCTAATGGTATGTGTAAGAACACCGAAGAAAACTTGGAGGGTGATGCTACGTAATTCGCCTGAAACAGCCGACGCCCAGCACCTCCAAAGAGGCGTTGACTTTGTGTCAGCGTTTGTTAAAGGCTTCAGTATTCAGGATGCCCTCGCTATTGTACGCATTGATGGGATTTATGTAGAAAGTTTTCACATTGCGGATGTTCGTCAACGCCTCCGAGTAAGTGTGTTAAGCTGTCAGTTCCTAGACAAAATGTTAGTATGCCCCATTTGTAAAGTACTTATATTTAGCAGTTTCGTTGTGATTTAGTCCTGTGCTTCAATTCCTTTGATAAAATAATCTTCTAATTCGTACCGTGTGATACAAGAAACTGTCCCGAATTGATATCGAGCATAAATCTGCCGAATTGGGTCTTGGTCGTATTGCGTTCCTTGATATATAGCACCCAATGTAATTAAGACTATGCTTATGCTTACTCGATACGTAGCTTCTCCCAATGGTTGAAACCAAATGGTCTCCCACTTAATTATTGCCTTTTAATTATAGGGGGATCATATGGCACGAGCGGTTGGCCGTATATGCGGTGCAAATGGACGTATTCGGTTGGCAATTGAAAATGCTACACGGACACGGATTATCGTGGCTGATCAAACTATTCACATTTTGGGCAGCAATGAACGCATTGCAGTGGCTCGCAAAGCCATCTGCAATCTTATTATTGGGTCGCCCCCTAATAAGGTGTTCGGTCGTATCCAGAATCAAACCGCACGTCTTGACTCAACCTTCTAGTTTCTTGATGTGATTGTAAAGATATTCTTCACTTCGAGTGGTTGTGGGGCTTGGGCTTTTTACTCTCACTCGATTTGTGCCTTGCTTTACTGCGGGTTGCAATTGCGGCCGTGAGGGCGATGTCTGGTGGTCGGGGCCCGTTTGGGGTCGCAGCCTTTGCCATTAGCCGAAGGGCGGTTTCACAAGTGGTGGGGGGTTATTAATGTGCAAAAGTGGGATTGGTCTCTAGCTAGGTGTCCTTTATCAACCCGATTGGTAAGTTCTCTAAATTGGGATTGTAAATGGGCGAAAATTCTAACAAATTGTCATGTGGTGCTAGGTTGTTATAATAGGCAGGGCAGGGCCCGCCTAAAACGGCCTTTTATGGTTGTGCATGGATGGAAAACGATCGGCGTGAGACGTGCGATCGCTTGCGGATTTGTAAAATATATTTCTTTGGTTCGTTTTTTAATGTATTTGGGTTAGCAAACTGTTTAATCCATAATACCTGCTTGTTGTCCCATTAGATAAAAGTGACCATACCGGGTCCCCATAGACTAGACGGTGGATATGAAACTTTGCTAAAAAAATGTACCATAGGTGCAAGACTAGTACGCCTGACACTTTTGTACATTAAGTGGGACGTCTTTACCCAGATGGTATCTTCCACTTTTCGTTTTCTGTCTTTCAAAATTCCCTTGATAGTTTTGGTTTGTTTTATTTCTATCCCAAGATTTTCCTCAGGTGCAAATTAATTTTTTCATTTCCATCACATATCTCATACATTTTTAAAACACGTGTTTGTGTCATAAGCCTTTGGTCTTTTTGTCAAGTAACTACCCTTGAGAAAGCGGACGAGCCAAAGTAATTTACCTTTGCTTTGCAGCTGGCATCGCTTTTCTTCCGTTTCTTTGGCTGGTAAACGTTGTCTGGTTTTTCCGGGACGCATTTTTCGGACCACCGTCTAATACGAGGAAGAAGTTTCAACTTTGTGAGTTGACTGAATAAATATGTGATCTCTACCTTAAGACGTTGCTTTGAGTTTTATCGGTGCTTTGATTTGGATTGTCGGCCTGGTTGCTTGGAGCATAGTCTACCATCAAAAGAGAATTTCCTGGGGATACCTTGGTGATCGCCTGTCTTTTAACATTCCCCCTGGGGAACTGTAATCATGGAGATTTGCGAATTATTACAACTAGAGGATGTAGTTCAAACCACTAAGCTCGGGAATCACTGTGATCAATACAACTACTTCGTTTCATCCAACAAAAAGCTAACTGTAAGTGTTGTTTGCATTATTTTGGTTACCAAATTACCAGGATCAAATTTTTATGTGTAAAAATATCGTCGATCGACTTGTTGATCCGCCCTGGCACGCAGACCCAAAGCGGAAATCCCTTTGGATACACGCTGCTGGTGGAATGGCAATCGAACGAGCCTCAGAAATCGCCCTTCACCTCTGTAAACGTTTTTATCCCAACCAGCTCAGTATGTTCGTCTACACAGATACCTTAAACACCGAAGAGGAGGTGAGTCTAGTGCTAAATTCATCTATTTTACGCCTTCTGCTTGTATACTAAACTAGGTTTTTCCTTCTGCTGCGAAGTGCATTCGTGTTACCTCTGATGGTCAAGTTGTTGAAAGGACGACACCAGTGTTAAAACCCACCGTTCACATTCGAATAACGGCAACCGCCTCCTCAGCCTCAAAGGATTCCCATTCTCTCCAACTAAATATACAAAATAGTGGCTACACCATCACACACATTGTCTGAGTATTGCCATTGATGTTGCTAAATAAATTTTGAACACATTTCAGTCTTTCCTGTTTTTAACGTTTTGAAATATTGAGTCGTGAGTATAGTCAAATTCGCATTATTCCTTTTGCGGAGGAAAAGTGGGTGATTGGCTTTATGAGTACATTTATGTGGTTAATCTACGTTACAACTACCGTTGAGTCCACGGATGGCTGCGTCGTGTGGAAGCGTATGCTTGTGCTAACCCAGATTGTGCCTTTTTATGCATGTAATTTATGCACTACCACAACTTGGTATGGATATTGTTAACATGATTTTAAGTAAAGTGTGTAGTAAAGCATTTTTGATCAGGTATTTTTATTCCAGCCCTGCGTTTTATTCACTTAAGAGTGCCAATGGGAAATGACTTTATTGAATTCAAGTGTCATGTTTTGGAACGAAGAAGAAATTGTGCCGCGAAGCCTCCTCCTCATCTCTTCCGGAGCAGTTGGTGATCGATTGCTATTCTGGAAGTCGACCAGCGCTCCTGGTAGTTCTGTCCAACAAGAGCAGGTGCCATCACGCATTGCTGATACGCGAAGGTGGGCTCGTCGCACTCACTTTTCTTATCACTTTTGGGATCCCCGTTTCACTCTGTGTCAGTTAATATGCGCTACTCTGTAAAAATAGGTTCCGGCTATTATCTCCACTGATCAATGCTTTTTTTATCTACAAGAATCATGGTTATGTAACAAGAACCTCATTTGTAGCCCAGGATACTCTTCTTACCTCCCCTACCAACTTTTGAAACCATCAAAAAATTTTGCACCTTAATATCTAAATAGTCTTAATTTTGTCAAAATCGCTTGGATAGTGCGTATTGACTCCGTTCTGCAGCTGTGAATCTTTCAGACAAGCAACCACTCTAGCCTTTCTTCTTTTAGACAAAAGTTCCCCACGTCTTTGGAAACTCCCCCTTTCCATTGCACACAGAGTCTGAACTCATCGCAATATGGCCATCGAGTAAGTAGCGATTGTATCAGCTAAGGAAATAGGTAGATTCTGTTCTATTGAAATTCTTTTTGCATTTCTCTTGAGGGGATCTCTTGCCCTTCACCAGCGGGGGTGTGCGTAGGTGGGCACCTCACAACTTCAGCTTCCTCCGTAGTCGTCGGGTCACCTCAACAGGCTGTCATCCCGTCGGGCGAGGTAACCATATCGAGTGCACTGAGCGCGGGCAAGACACGTCTCTCTGGCGCCCCGCCCTGTGCTCAGCGCCACTCCACCGCTGCCGTCACCGCTGTCACCTCCTCTGGAAATTCCGGGGCCAGTGGCAATCCGAACCAATCTGGCGGGTCCATTGCCGTCGCCCCCACTGAAATGATCGTTGAGAATGTACCTGTCAGCTCCCTGCTCAGCCTCCTCCACCCCTCTACCAACGAGCTCCAGCATAAAATTCACATTAAGGTGGGCGTTTTGCTGTCTACTTGAAATGCCCATAGACTGTGTCCCCACTCGTTTGCCTCAGCGCTACCCACAAGGCCTCTGGCAGTATTTCACTTTTCACCGTTTCTTTTACGAACAAGTCAGGTTTACTGAATTGGCATCTCTTTAAATTACTTAATACGGCACTGTTCATAGGACTTTTTGTAATTAGAAAATTCAGGGTTTTGTCACTGATTTGTTTTTTTTATCACTTGACAAAGCCACACCAAATGCTAATTATGCTGCAGGATGTTTCAGATGAGTGCGCTCATGTACATGCACACATTATAATGTATACTATCTATAATGTATGTCTGCATGCGCTAGAGCTGGGGGTGAACAAAATTAAATCTAGTGTCTTTTTAACGTGGGGTCTTTAATTGCAGCTACCCACGATGGTATTCTTCTTGGATAAATCTGATAGCAGAAAATCGTGAACTCCTTCTTTTGCAGGGAGATAATGCGTAAAATCAAAATATATCGGGACTTCAAGTAGTTTTGGGGTGACCTGCACGAATTAAAATTAGTTTTATAAATTTACTTTAGTAATAGACCGAATGTTTAATTTCTACTGCTCCGTATCCTAACTTATCACTTTTTCAGCTAAGCACGAAGGTCTTCGTCGGCGTGGCCTTCAGTCTAGCAAAGTCCATAATGGAAACGAATGGTGTTCCCGTAATAAATCAATCATCGCCTCTAACCAATCGAAGGGGCTCCATGCCCAGCACCAGCACCTGCGCCACTGTAGCACCTAAGCCACCAATGGACTTTACAAGCATAATTAATTTCCTGCGCCTCAAATCTCCGCTTCCTCCACCTAAATGTGAATCCTCTCAAACGCAGGTAGCGCATTGCGGCGGTCTATTTGGTGCCATCAGTAGCAAAAAAGGTGAAAAAACGATCAACCAAAACGTATCCAGCTTTGCAGTTGTCTTTGTTCTTAACGAAGCTACTCCACCGTCCATTCAGTCGCATTACACGGAACTCGCTCGACTAGTAGGTTTCATTTTTTACCCTCCGATGAATAAACCTTACACAAAACTGTCTAAATGATAGCCAGATTGCTGGATCAAACCGCATTCACTATCAGCGAAGCGGCCAATTTTTGCCATTTTCTGCTTCGCAACCAACATATTTATGTTTTTGTTTGCTTGTGTAAGTATCTCACGGGTCGGTCTTATCTGAGTTGTCTAGCTTTATTTATTTCATCCATTTGCATCCAAGTTGGCATTCTTCCATTTCTCTGTCATTTAACCTCCGATTCTGAAGACAGGAGCACAAATACGTCGATCCGAGCTCTACTGGCAAAACCTGAGTAGTGAACGTGAGAAAATATCCGCCATTCTCGACCGATACGCGGGCATTCTCAGTAGTGGGGATGGTCAGGTGGATGCCGGAGAGCACAGCGGCAGCAATGGTAGCAGCGTCGATGACAATGGCAACATTAGTGTCACAAATGAAAGTGTTGGCGGTACGGAAGTGGTCTCACCTCTTATTACCACACACAAAATGGCTCCATCAGAGGCTCCTGAGGAAGACGATTCCGCCAAGTTTAATAAACATGAATTTACTGGAGGTGGTCGTTGCGACCCTTGGCGGGTCTACGCACATGTAGCGAAGCGTTCTTCCCTCTGCAGCGAGCTTTCTCAAATCTTGAGTCAAGTGTCCTCCAGCGGCCGGGTAAATGTCAAGGTCCGTGGTTTATACCCTTAGTGCAGGCAAATAATTATATGTTAAGCAGATGTAAATTGACTTACTTTTTGTAACCACAGATATACAACAAGTATTCGGTCTTCTTCTGCCTCCCCTTCAAGGCCTATGCAATTATGCCGTTTGGATTGAAAATGGTAACTACACCGAAGCCTTGTTGGCCTGGGATTCGCCCAGGCGCGGTTTGGCGCGCTATGCAACGTCTTCGACCCTATCACACCCTGCTCTTGACCACGCGCAAACGCTTTCTTCATGTCTACACTGACTCCTTTCCCACTGACGTAAATCAGTCCCTCGAGAGGTGGGCGATGAGGTCAATCTAACGACCAATCGTACATTTTGGCAACTTTTATCCTAGTGAATCGATTGTGATAAAAACATGTTAAATTCGATATTGTCTGCAATTATTCAGTTTTGTGGAAGACATCTCTCCGATCTCCAGTTTGGTCTCTATGTCCAATCGAGGCCACTCTCAGGAGGACTGTCTTCGTGTGGCGCTTTGGCTAGTCTATCACGGTCACGCAATTATAATCTCGCCCATTGCCTCTAGCAATGCCTACACACTGGCTCCACTCTCCCACTACTGGCTGCAACCCAAGGTCCTCCTCCAATTCGCTGCTCAATTTCCCAAATTGAACTTTGCGGAGGTACTTCTTTTTCCACTGTGACATCTGAACACGTAAATGACATGGTAGTAGTCTCCAAATTTTTGCTGGAAGCATAACCATGAGGTGTCAACTTACCGTCTTCATCTAGGTTCTGTCGTCGTTCTCGGATTATTATACTCTTGAAGACCACTTTAACGGGCAATCACCGTCACAATTTTGGACAAAATTAAGTGCAACGGAGGGTGCTGACCTGGTGGCGTGGCTTCTGCGTCGTCGGCTTATTGTGCAGATACACATCTACCTCCTCTCTCTTCTACGAAGAAAAAATAACGACGTCCCGCTTGATCATGACAAAGGCATCTCTGACTCCAACTCCTCCTGTTCCTTGAGTGGTCCATCGGAATCAGCCTTCGTCCGGATTCATCAGGGATGCGGAGGAGCTCTGCTGCAATCCGCTCTGCCAAATGAGGTCGATCGAGAGCGCGTGCTAGTGCACTACCGCTCTGCCGTGCAGCACTATCCCAACATGCTCCACCTCTTCCTACGCCTTCTGACGCACCTCCCGGCGCACTTGGAAGAGCTTATGTTCGTCGAATCGGTAGACAGACAAACCCTTATCAGTTGTATGCAACTATTTTCACCCTTCCTCATAACAATGCGCCTGCCTGATCCCGTTACCGCCTGTTTTGCTGGTGTCGAGTGGTCTCATTGACAGTAGGGTATCCTCCGTAAACACGCTTGATTATTCGTTCATTCACTTGCTGTTCGTTCTCTTATACAGCACCTTTTTGAGGTCACCAATATCGGTTTTCAGGAATACTTGGGTCCACTCCATAGGTGCAAGAGACGGATATAACGACGACCAAGTGAAAAAGCCATTGAAGTATGTTCAATAATGGAGGTCTGATTATGTTTAGATGCATACTCATAATGAAAAGAAATTGTAAACGCAGACATGCATTCAAGAATAAAAGATTATTATTACAAATATTGAATGAATGGTTTATGTACAAAAAATGATAGGATTAGCTAGGCGTCGACTCGTTTGACTTTTGAACTTTCGCCCCTACACCGAGGACAATACCAGCGACCTTTGGGTTGAGTTTTTATCTCGACGCAAGCAAAATGAAACCACTCGATTTCGCAACGAGGATTATCACAAGCAATCATATCCCCGTACGATAGTTTCTTGCACAGGCAATAGAGGCGCTCTCCAGACACGTCCACAGCGGTGGAACTGGTTCCCACTACCTCTCTCTTACGGCTGCGCAGAGGAGAAGAGGTGCACCTCAACCTTGGACGTGGTCGGTTGTACTCTTCCGAGTCACTTGAAGAAGAAATCGAGGAGGGAGAGAGAGGTGCCTTTATTGGCCGGTTGGCCATCACTTGTTCTAACGGGACTTGATCCCTTCTATGTAAGTCAGTTATTCGAGAACGCGAGGGATGGACAGAAGACATTACTCGATTCCTGACCCCTCTAAATGGACCTCCTCTAGCCGAAGAGGCAGCGTTTCGCCGAGCACTTATCCATTTTGTGCCTCGTAGAAGAATTTGTGAGGGCGAGGGACGATGGTGCTGATGGATGACCCGACGAGCTGACTTGATGGGTGGTTGTGGTGGCGGCGGAGGCGACGTACTTTCTAATGGAATTAGGGCTTGATGCGGCCCATTATCCCCGGGTGTAAAAGCCTTTATCAAATTTTTGAGCTGTTGCTCGTCGTTCGCATGCAGTGTGGATTTGGACTGCGACAAAAATTGAAGTATTTGTTCTAATGTTTCTAAAAGCTGATTTAAAAGAAAACGGCAAAGGATTACCAAGTACCCGCACCTGTAAATTGATTCAATTCAATGTTTTAACTTGATTCAAGAAATGCAGACAAAATTAGGGAATTTCGTATTATTTCCAATTTTACAAGAGAGTGACCATGCTAGCTAGCCCGTTACATCCGATTTCGATTTGACGGGAGCTATAGCATGTAGGGAGGGACAAGAAGTGTTACATCAACCCCAACACCATCCCATTTGAAGCAATAAAAGTACCGCCAAGAGTTGAAATTCCGAATTTTGCAGTAAATAAGTCATATCTATGCATTTAAGGTAACGTTGTGGAAATTAAAGTTAAAATATGTGGGCTTCAAGCGTTAGTGGCAGAGGAAACTAACCTCACCCCATCTCACCAAGTCTCGCATCGTATACATTATTCATTGTTATTATCATAGATGACAAGGCCTCAAGATTGGTGGTGTTCTTGTTTTCCGAGAGATCAGTAAGAGCCGATTCGATGGAGTTAATAAGATCTTTTTGCCCTACGTCAGAACCAAATGAGGAAGTAAAGAATCTTTGAAGGAGACGTGGTAGCTCCTGAATGGTGGCAAGATAATTGGTGAAGTATGCATTAAGGCCACCATCTATCATTTTTACACACACACATCAAATGTATAAAGAGCCATCCGATGAACTTAAACAATTGCGTCTTTCATGAAATATTGTGCTATTTTGCAAAAAATCCTATTTCTGTTAGCAAACAACCTTTTGTGTATATGTTTTAAATTCAAAGGGATTCACCGCCCCTATATTTCGAAAGTGGCTTTATGAGATTAAGTAAAGAGTCCCTTAGAACGCTTTCGCAATGTCACATAAGTATGACAGGTGGGTCCAACTATAGCACTCAAATCCCATTCAAGGTCGTAAATATCTACCTCGGAGAGGCAGAACCCTCACCACTAATGCAGCGCCCCAAGACCCTTCTGAAGACGAAAAAAGGACACTATACTCGAGTAGAATTTACATATTTGGAATACGGAAGGTACCAGGGCTACTGGCATGGCCCAAAGGCCATCTCACCCGGCGTGGTACAATAACCAAGTCAAAGGTGGCTCCTCACCAGAACCAAGAGATAAACGACCATTGTATTACATAGACCCCCTCCCCTTTTGAGCGCCGTCCCTGGCGCTCCCGCAGGTCACCCTTCCGCATCAGCCAACACAACGTAGTCGGCGCTCCAAGGAAACATCTATGAGCCGGCCTTGCCAGTCATCAAATTTCTATGCAACTAAGGGGATACTTGACCACATTATCACTGATCTCTCTTGGCAATTTAACTGGATCTGGAGTTTCGTACGGTTTGGGAATTGTTCTGGTCATTATGCTTGTCTGCAGATAGATGTAGACAGACTGGCCTAAAAGCAGATTTATGTAAAGAAGAAAGGGATGTAACACGGGTCCGTGGGGAAAGGGTTCCGCGCGTCTGTTCCTCCTTGCCACTTTATTCCCACTTTGGAGCTGCCCATACTCTATTCAGCTAGTAAGGAAATGGAGGAGGTATCGTGAGTTCACTTTATCAACAGCTTCATGCAGGTGAAGTAGGGAAAGTATGTAAGGTAACTTCCAGACGGTTCACGGCTAGTATCGCTTTAGTTGTTAATAGCTTTTCTGCAGAACACGGGACTGGGATAGATGCCGAAGGTAGACGCCAATCTCAACCCCTCTGTTTGGGGTCATCATCATTTTCCCAGCCGCAGCATATGTACTTCTTCCGCTCTGCTAAGGTTTATCACGCAACAGTGGAAATCAGGATAGATGTCCTATGGGATCGGGTTCGCTTTCTCCTGCCACCAATGCAGTGCCCCGAGAGTTTCCTGAAGACAAAAGAAGGTATAATACTCTGGTATACTATATATATTTGGCATACAGAAGGTACTAGGGCTACTGACACGGTCCGAAGGCCAGCCCACTGGGCGTGGTACAATGGCCAAGTCGAAAGTAGCCCCTCACCAAAAGCGAGAGATAAACAACCATCGTATTACACTAATTTACAGGAGTGAGGCCACGTTACTTATATAATCCGCGGAAACCCATGTGCTCCTTTGGTCAGAGCAATGTTAAACACATCATCGACGCACTGCATTTCATTTATGAATGGATCTTCGGTATGTTTTATGATAAAATATAAAGACCCTCTAAGATCGCCACAAGTATTTGCGTAGTGTAGTTTGAACTTCAGATGTATGTTATACGAAATAAAAATCCCCACTTTTTGCAAATATTACTTCCTCCAAGTACCAGGCAACCTAATCGCCTATGCTCCCTGCCTGACTGTGCGCAGGAAAAAAAAATTTGTCGATGTAGTAACTAAGGCGAAGGGAACAAGTTAAGCTGAAAATCATCTCACGTCGACCCGACTCAGCCAGCTAGCAGACAGAACCACCCGACTAACAGACCTTGCTGGCCAATACTAGCATCAGGCCCCACGCCACCCAAATATATGGCCACACATACGAACCTCCATGTTGCAGAAACGAAACGATCAGTTATAAGAATCATCCTTTTGAATGGCTTTCTCGCGCAAGGCAAAGTACAGAAGTCGTGACTGATTAAGGCTAGGATGAAGGGCTCAGGACCAGTGTAGAGAATGGGGAAAGCGAATGACAAATGTGTTTGACAATAACTGGCTTTTAAGGTAAAAAACACATAGAGGGGAAGGGAGAAGAGTCAAAGGAGAGGAAGGCAGAATTGGCGTCCAGTTTGATGAGAAGTGGAGGGAAGAAAAGGGGAGGAGAACGGCGATGTGGAAGATTGTCATGCGGAAAGAAACTGAAATCCTTCCTCCCTCACACTCCCACCTCTCCCATCGTATCACGCAGTTTTAGTTATGTACATGAGGGGTAATCAGGCATGACGCAGTCATGGCTGCCGGGTGACGAAGGAAAGGGGGAAAAATCCAATCTAAAAGGAGGCAAAAAGGATGTAAATGCAAATCCATCCTACGAAAATTGATTCCCCTAATTTATTTCACTCCTCAGTCAAAAAATAGCAACAACTATTCTGTGTAGTTTGGTGAATAAGGATAGCTGTTTGAAGAAGCCAGGGGCACCGTGATATACACTAGAGCAGACTTGACAGAAGGATTGACAATGGGGGGAAATATGTAGGCGTGCGCACCCTTCCGTTGAGCCAACCTTTCCACCAGCCCTGTTCCTTAGCCCGAGTACTGATCACGTGCACGAGGTCACCACGGGTCAGTGGCAGCATGCGTGGATTTGCATCACCTTCGAAGTCGTGCTGGGCCCGTGCGTAGAAGAGTACGCTGTCCTCTGAGTAGGTGAAAATAAAAGAAAACATAGTCATCAAAAGCTCGCGTCATTGATGAATCCCCTATCCAACCAAAAATGGAGGCTGGACACAATCCCAAGCCCCTAGGCCCGATTGCACGAATTGCATCCAAAGCTAGGTCTAAGTAGCAATGGAAAGCACTTCTTTTCCCAACCCTAGAAAAATAGTGCGATTCTCAGTATGCAATGCACTTCGCCTGTTATTTCATTTCAGGGAGCATGGTAAAAAGTGATGGCTTTGACGGGTGAATTGCCATTATTGCCTACGCGTGTCCACGCAGATTCGACAGGCACTGCCCAGAACCCGTGTTGCCTGGACTTGGACAACACAATCGCAGGCTTGGGCAGGTCAAATGCCATTCAAGTGTCAAGAGCATCAAAACCCAAAGAGAACTTTGGAGGCCGTGAATGATGCTTATTAAAAAGCACAGCAATTTATCAAAAGAAGTGAGCTGGACTGCCATGCAGAACTCACCAGGGCATCGTTGGTAGGGGAACCGGAGGCAAGTCTGCACCTCATCGAAGCACTCGTTTAATGAGACTCGGCAATAAAAGTCCACAAGTGCCTCAAATTTAAACAAAAGATAAATAATTTGGTTGATTTACTTTAAAATGGGCCTTAATTGCTCCTAAAAATGGACACAAAGACGGCAGAGGAACAATGTAAGCAAAGAAGGAGGGAAAGCGTTGGGTGGATGACGCAGAGCCATGACTTGTGTTGTGTTGCGCTGTGTTGACCACAATGTCCAAAAATGGGCTTATGGGTGAACGAGCGCAGCCAAAGGCAGCGGTGTAAACAAGTTTCGACGTCTCGTGAAGGCCTGGCGAAATGGATTCGATCGATTTGTGCTGCAATCGCAACTACGGTGTGGATACCAAGGCTGGCCACACCTCAGAAATTGACATCTGAGGATACCGTTCACGGCACTAATGAGTACGCGCAATGCGAGTTGATTCCGTACGGTTTTAGTAGATAGGTTTGCTTTCAAACGATCGCCTTGTTTCAGTTTCAGGCGATAAAACTTTTTTGTTTACACGCCATGTTTCCAGCGCAAAACCAGCCAAGGAAAGTTCGCAGCTGCTCTCAGATGTTCATTTTACAACCTATAGCAAATAATGCGGGTAACTAACTTCACGCATGTCACGATTAACTGACACTTTTTATTACTCAAGGCAGGGAAAAACAATATAAATACACCATGGATAAACTAAAATGCTAAAGCAGTGAACAAATGTCGAACCACGCGTCCACCAATTTCGAGACAAGAGATCCGAGCCTAAACGCAACAGTCGTCGCTGGGCAGCCACAGGTAAATTGGAGTCGAATTCAAAAGGATCACAAGCTATTGCTAGGAGTTGTAAAATCTGTCGTAGGCGTCTCTATGTGGCGCCGTACCAAGATTTTCACCTGCTCCCTAGGTGCATTAACAGAGAGCGGGATCAAGTCGAAGGTGGGCAAAATCCTTTCGAATAGAAATTTTATGTCAATATACAAACGGATAGAAAATTGGCTTACAAATGTTCCTAAATATAACTGTTTTTTACTCCTCGTTTTAAGAAGGAAAGTGTCATTTGAAAATAACATCGAAATATGAAATTACCTGCAAAAACAAACGTCGAAGTGGCCACAAATGCGTGCATAAATATCTTTCATAATGCGGCCAATTTAACTAGCTTTAATAAAACATATGCTAACGTCGCAGCAGGAGTATAACTTTTCATGCCCCATTGGGATTTGATTGAAAAGCCCGTTTTATGAGCCTCAAATGTCGGTACTTAGAGTGTTAAATGATGGTAGGACACTGCACCATCACGCACATCGACTCATTTAATACACCGGTCAAGAGAGGTCGCCAAGCCAACACTGGCCGAGGAGGGGGGGTCGCAGGCCCTTCCTGCACGGAATGGGTGTTTACCCATTGCGATCGCGTTTACACGGTGCACTAGCAACGGAAAGCGAAGAGCGAAACCGTTCGCGCCTCCTCGCCTTTGCGTGCGTGCCTACGAGCACAGTGAACAAAAGCCGACCTGCCGCTGAGTGAAATGGAAAAATGCAAGTGACAAAAAGACACAGATGCACATCCGAGTGAGTCATGAGGTAGTAGTGATATGAATTGAAGAAAATAGACAAAAAGATGAGTGAGCGCAGAGAGAATGAGAAGTGGAAAAGCGCGGTGCATCCTAAGGTGGTTTGCATCACACCATACGCACAGTTCGTATACGTGGGCAGAGATGGGTAAACTGGTTGGATAGATGGCAGCTATAATAAAAGCCCCTTGGTACACATAACTTACCCAAATGCAGGATTGATGCCACACAGAGTGGCAAAATGAAAGGGGAAAGGGCACACTCAGTAAACTCACTTCAAGGGACTTGAAACGCTGAGGAGAGCAGAGATAGAAACAGGAGTCGGAGCTGCGCTGAATGCGGATGTGGCGCGGATGGTGGTACACGACGGAGAGAGAATATTCGCCCATCCGAGAGACGTTTTTAGAAATTCTCACAAGAAATGTACCATTCTCGCACCCTGTCAGTAGCTGGGTTGCCTCTGCTCGATCCATTTCTCCAAAGTACCTAAGACGTTAGAAACCGTGGGCTAGCAGATTGTTAAGATAACACTTCAAACGGTACCATGCACAATAAGACCACGGCAAGCGAAATGAAATTTCCAATGGGCTGAGAGACAAGTACCAGATAATTGAAATTAACAAACTGACCCCAGCCCCACGATTCTGTAATGTGATGCAAACTGTGCTCGAGAAACGCAATACAATAAAACGACATTTACTCTTATTATTTAGCGTACTTAGATAATAGGTTGCCTCATGCATCTCATTTTAGTCAAGTAACATCACAAAAAATGAAAGGATTCCAGTACCTAAAGGACCACTTTTATAAAGGTATATAAACGCTAGTCATGCTCAATGAAAACTCAGAAGCTGATGCTATACAACACAGGTACTCTAGTTAGTCGGATGACCACCACCGCTACCGTTTACCTAATTGAACAGCGGCTGGAGCGACAAGGCAAAGGAGGGGATGTACCAAGACATAGAGGAGAATGACTGATTAGTTGGAGGGGAAAGAAGAGGAGCAGCAGCACAGCTGTAATGCCTTCCGGTGGTTTTGACACCAACATTAGAATTGGGGGTCGTGTAGGTGCGGAGGGAGGAGGAGCGAGTCACGCCAGCGCCACCATCGCCATCAGGAGGTATTGGTGGCAGCTCTGTCCGAGTCGAAGAGGAGGAAAGAGAGGCCAGTGTTCCCAGCGAAGGAGTAGTGAGGTTGGAGAGAGACTGATACCATCACCATCACACAGAGGGAGAGAGAAGTGGGAGAGCATGCAAGAGCAAAAAGGGATAACAATACAGATAACATGCAGACATGCTTCATGCATTCCACATGACCGAGAACAATTCTCGCGTATCTATTACAACCAATCCCCCTTCCGACTCATTATCTCGCATGCGCACGCCCTCAATGAATACAAGACCAACCATGGACAATTGGAGAGGGCGATTTTGGTACTGGTGGTCGGCGTGGAAGGTGAGGTGCAGTGTCCATCGGTGTCGTCCGTAGCAAGACATTCACCTGCCTCGCGCTCAGTGGAGTTGTGCTGTCCTAAGCACGGCGACGCTGAGGTGGAAGCAAACCTCAACGACGAGGTCATCTGTGGGGTCACATCGTTAAGCGACAGGACATGCATAACTTGGTCGCGAGAAGTCTGGCGAGACATCGTGGTCAGAGGTCTCTGCATTCACAGGGGGTGGTGGCGGGATTAAATTGCACATGGCAAAGTTTTATCCCATTCATTTCCTGCTGGCTTCAGCTTAGAGCGTGGGAAAGTTGATCCATCCATGATCAAATTTAGCAAACGTTTACGATACCTCATAGACTCAGTGGATTCGGATATCGTAATTCTATGCAGAAATGACTAATTGGAGGTGTCACATTCACGTGAAAAGTCGCCGATTATATACCACATTCTATTGTGGACTTTGATAATATGTACAGCAGAAATTGTGGCTACTTCAACTGCTCCATAAAGCCCAACTGGCGTTTCGAAGGTGAGTTTCATTACTAAGCAATCAGTCTGAACAATGATTAGCAAATGTTGGCGACCCAACCTTCAATGAAAAATACCGGGAAATCCCTTCCATTATACAATTGAAGGCTCTGTAGATCGTTTACCAAGCGAAATCATTGTACTCGTTTGCATTTGGACTCCTTTCCATTTCCTCTACAGTGCCTTTTTTGTCAACACATCATCAAGTGTCACAAATTTATATAGTTAGGCTTAATTTGCTCTTTGGAAAATTAAGCAAAATAGTCTAATGCACTAGTATCCGCAAGCATAAACGGTTGGGACGGGGTACATGATAATCTACTAAAAAACGATGTGAAGTTTACCCGGAATGGGTAAAATCGAAGTATTTTATTTTGTTTGAATGACAATGCAACTGTCAGCAGGAATGAACAAGTAACAGCATTTACTTTGGTTGGTTTTAAAATAAAGTGCATCTAGAAGTGGGCATCATCAGAGCGGTAGATCAAAGACGGCGTGATTAGCATAAAGGACAACTTGATTAGTACGTGGGACAATCCTTAGAGGTTTACACGGCTGCTTCTGACCTCGATTTAAACACGCTCTGTTTAAATGTTGTGTAATCTCTGAATCACACCACTGACTTATCCCTACATACAGTCACATTATGATGTCAAATCCAAAGCAAGCATTGTCAAACCTGTAAATTTACCAATGCAGGAAGTAAATAAGCAAAGTGAAATATGCACTTACATCAGATTTCATAGGGATTTCCACGTGAGACGCTGGAAACCACCCTTCTTGGTCATTCAGTCGGCCCTGAAATTAAAAAAAAGCAACTATAGATGAGAGAACTTTCGGAAATTACAATAAATTTTGGTTTTAAAAACACCGCAAACGACTAAAAAATCGCTTATGCAAACACCAAAACTATATTCAGAGTTGTGAATAAGGAAACTGCCCTAAAAGTTACATTACCAAAGGAAGCAGCCGACTGTTTCAAAACCCACTTAGTACAGCCTCTCTCATCGCTTAGAACAAATTTTAGGTTTGCGTCCCACACAAGCGCCAAATGAAGACTGCCTAATTCATACCTAATAAGTTGATGAATGAGGCCCTTTGAAAACTAGCTTCAAAAATGAAGGACCATCAAAAGTCAGTGTATTAACACATTAATCAACAAGTTGGCACAGACATCCTTGGTTTTGGTAATTGTCCAGCCGAAAGATGAGGTGTTTTGTGTTAAGGTTCTACTAAGCCACTACCCACGAATGGAATGATCGCACCGCAATTAATATTCGGAAAAAAGGAGGAGAAAAGGAAAATAGCTGGACGCATATATTTTATAATTCGAAATTCTTTGCTAATAAAATGCAATTATTTTGTTATCAAGGCATTGAAAAACCGAAGTAATCAGGTACCATCGGACAGCCGCGTCAGGCTTTGCTTCGTGGTTTTCAAGGTTCCGTTCTGATTACTAGAATAGTGGAGGTAGAACCAAAGACCTGTAAGCTGCTCACCACTAGTCCCACGAAAACACGGCCATCCTTACACCTATACCCACATACGCATGGATTTATGTATAACTTTACACGCACATATATATATATATATATGTGCATTTCGGCTTGCATTTGGCACAAAAAACGAGGCACTCAATTGTAAATAGGTGATTATGCCGAACCAAGTAAGGAAGGGGTGGAAACGAGAACCGCTTTTTACCGCTTAATTACTTATGCACACAAGTGGTCAAACAATGCGAGGCATGCACATGGATACACAAAACGCGTTCCCCAAAGGCCAGGCATTTGCACATGATAATTAATTTACCCGTGAATGGCATTGAAATAAGAGGTCAATGATCCCCTAGTTCCAAGAACCGGAAGCCATGTTGATGCACCGATAAATTGCAAAAAGGAGTGGACCTCTGCCAGAGGGTTCATTCAATCAAGAGTGTTTCAAAACTACGCCTCTGCTTGATTGTAGTGACTAATTTACACTACTGCATTAATCCCGAGAAGATTAGATATTTTACTATTAGACTGAAAAATTGACTGCTATATGCCAATGATTCAAGTAAAGTGGAAATTATTAAAACAATTTGATCTCGACGTCTTGGGAATTGGTCATAGCTTGTTGCAACCCCTTTTTTTTCAAAATCGGAGTAATTCCCATTTGCATAACGTCTAACTAAAAAATAATACAGGTTCAGTAAATATCGAATGATATCAAGATTGAAATTGCACTAAATCGGCATTGCATAGTCCCAGTACCTCCAGAGGAGACGAATAGGATTAACTTGATTTTTTTTACCACTTTCTCAATGAATGGGCTACACAGTTTCGTATTTAATTAGGGGGCTTGTATTCCGCTCACATCCGACCCACATCTACAGGAAATGAAGGTAGACCGTAGTAGACATCATACCGTAAAGTAAACTTACGGATAAACCCACTATCCCAACCGATCAACATTTCGTGTTTGAAGAAGTAGTTTGGCTCAATATCTGTAACTTCTTGAAAAAGTGTGCATAAATCAGCGCTTGAACAGCGGCCAGATGAAAAACCGACACCAAATACCTAGCTGCTTATGGTAGGACAAGAAAGTGGAGGTCTTCTACCCTGTCAATAAGGAAATGCTACATTTTTGTGAACCAGACCAAACCGTATATTTGCGGAAACATTTGGTACTACGTTGATTTGCAGGAAATTAGGATCTGCAATAGTGCCAGCATACCGTATGGATAAATATTCCGCTGTATTAATGCAAAAAGCCTTTTAGGAATTCGACTCTGGAAGAACAACTTGTCTAACAAGCCACTGTTTATAGAAGGGAAAAATAAATTCTCTTTTCCACTGGAACACCAACTGTTGTTATTAATTCATACAGGGTGTAGAATGTATTCATGTGGTCGAAAACGCTAAACATCGCCCGTCCCTATCGATACCTCTGCAGTGACTGGAAATTTTCCCGCGGGAAATGATGAAATGTTACATACATTAAAATTTCGGACCCACACACGGAGCTTAGTACGTAGGTAGAGGTAAACGAAAGCCGTGGCAATAAATTCTCAAACATTATCCAACGGATAAACAAAATAAAAGTTTTCAATTCGGTCAAATGATATAAATAACTATAGGGCAGTTTCCGATCAGAAATTCCTCGTATATTGCACCGTCTACAAATTATCGACAAAAAACTAAAATCTTCCAATTTCTTAAATCGGGAAATGAATCATGATGCTTTTAGTAAATTCTGCATAGGAAAATTTTCTTTCAAAATTAATTATAAATGACCATTCGTTAAACATTTTTTTCGTGATAGTGCCGATTCGGCTAGAAACTCTAAACACCAAACCCGAAGAGGAGAATTATTTGGAGTCTCAATCGCACAAACTTTTGTTTGGTCATCCTACACACAAGTTCTAGAAGTAGTACGCACATACCTTAAAGTGTGTTTGCAGGAAGATAGCGTGACAAGGGCACATAAGACGATCTTCTTTACAAAGTGGGACCACATGAGCAACAGGAACTGGGGTGTGATTGAACCTGTCTCTCAGGGGAGGTGGGGAGGACATGATGCACGAGCTGTAGGCACGCGCACACGGGAGATGGAGGATAACACTAAGACCTGGAGCACTCCGACTGAGGGATTGATTTACATTCGCCACAAACACAACGCGCAGCATGCAACATAAAGGGCAGATGGTGTTCCTTAAGGCGCCGACTATGCGCATTTTAATGTTAACAAGTCCTTTAGGAACGCTAGTTCTTAACTACAATTCAAATGTATGGGTAGTCCCTTACCCAAGTTTTTAGTAACGTATAACTAACTTCAGTTAATTAATACCAATGTACTGAAAGGAACGACACAAATCATTGCAGCTTGAGAATGGAGTACATGAAAGCGAGGATGAAACTGGAAGTAAGTACGCAGCATTGGTCGGAGAGAGAATACATCGCAAAGTTGACCTATGGTGAGACTTTGGCCGATTTGAAAGCAGGGTGGATAGCAATCTAATTCTCATTCTCAAATTAGCTTATAAGGCTGCACTTACCAAAAGATACCTGCAAGGACAACTGACGGTTCTTTTCTACTTTTTATTTGAAAAACTTGAGTTGGTTGAGAAAGTGCATGACGCAAAGTTGCAAGTTAATTCTGGTCTAGCATCGGTAACAATTGGCCACAAATAAAACGAATATTTCGGTCACAAAATTTCGGGAAAAAAATTAAGGTTTTCACATGATAAAAAGAACATGCGGCACGAACTAGTTCAACAATCTTCGAATCACGTTAAAGTCGTGAATTCATTGAAATCGAGATTATTGTTGAATAAGTGGGAACGGTTTGTGGAGTCTGCTAAGGTCTATACAGTTTTAAATAGTATTTACTACCTACGAGACCCCGTTATCCTGGTGATTTCGCATTTCACGCATGAATGATTGCGTGGATAAATAGGTGCTATGCATACATTATGTGCCATTATTCGATTCATTCCGAGGCTAAACATGTCTAAACCGCTATGCGTGACTGATAGGTTCAATTTGATAGAAAACGTTCGTCAAATAAAACGAGGAGAAACTGAGCTATTTTCTCGCTAACAGAATTTAAAGACCAATTGAACTAACTGGAACAGTAGATTAAGTTAATAGTAGACTGAATTCACTCGGATTAAAAGGCTAAACAATTCGAACTATGCACCTGGATCCTGTGATACTTAAACAAAATGAGGCCGACAGAGTTTCACCAAGCTACCCTAATGACACTCCCAACAAAGCACCCCCCTACTACTATTCATAGGCGCGCAACGAAACCAAGCGACAAGGATAAAAAGCGTTTTAAATTAGCTAGACTTATCAAACATTTAGAAGAGAAGCTGTGAGAAATGCGACAAGGGTTCGTCGACCCCAAGGCAGTTCGAAGTGCAGAATTAACTCAACTGAGCAAGTGATTGAAAATGGAAAAAAAGTACACATGAATCATTCATTCGGGTATGTCGAGACTGAAATGTATACAAAATTTGAACGTGTATTCATTACGTTAAGAAAGAATATTTGTCCACTCGAAACTTTATGGAAAACTATATTGCAAAACATCACCTCGAAGTTGAATTTGGTGACGGGAGAAAATAGGTGGAAGTGATATGCATAATCACTAATAGTTAGTAAAACAGCGCCTTTGTAATTAAAAATTTACCATGAACGGCGGATAAAACGAGGCACCGCCAATAATTTCACGCTGTAAATGGATAAATCGGAGGTAGGATTAGCACCAAACTTGGCTAAAAGACACACTGCCATCAATGAGAGGTTTGACACATTCGACCTAAGGTCACCGTGACGTTCTTCGAGAGAAATTAACAACCGACGTTGAGTGGATAAGGTCACACTTAATCGTCGAGTTCGTAAAAGATGATGCAAATCGCAATAGTTTAGATAGGGAGTTGATTCAGCTAATACGTTTAAAGCCTCGAATGTAGCTGAGCGAATTTACTTCACTAGCAGAAATATTCATAAAGTAATGCATTGGAAGTGCAAGAGATGGAAATTCGATTAAAGACCACTGAATATTAGAATATAATGTGTCAAAGTGACTAGTGTTTTGGGACCACAAATCTGAGAACCTGTCATAGTTGCAATTATCTGCTGTCCGAGAGGCAATCAATGAGTCAAATTTCCAACCCGATCTGTAAATCCGTAGCAGCAGCGGTACTAACAGTAACATCCCAGTACTATTATACTCTTAGGTGTCAACGCATCTTAAAATGTGAATTAGGAGGATCAATATATAACACCAAGAATAAGTAAAATGCGGATAAATATTAGCATCCATTCGGCGTAAACATCTTGTGTGAAGACGCACAAAGGTGCAGCACAGGATAGAAACAATACACCAACGTTTACAGCATAAACAACCTGGTCATCTGTATGTCACTTGTTTATATTAACTCAGAGGGTGGATACTCGATTCCTGACAGAAAAAGTCGGTAACTCGACACAGTTGCCAATTTCAGACAAAATATATAAAATTTGACGCAAGTTAGGGAAAAAAATCCACCTACGTGAAGCCATCTTGACCCATCGAAAGGCTGAGTGAGAGTGATCCTATCACCAGTGTTAAAGGAGAGCGGTTTGAGACGCTTCGAGGGGTCACCAAAGGCACCAGGAGGTGAGAGTGGAGGTGGAGGCTCACCCGAGTAGGCGGCCACCGCGGTGATCACAATTGCCCTGGCTGCAAAGACATCCCCAATAGCCTCAAAAGAGTTCGAGCTAGTGCGCAGATGGAGTGAGGAGCTGTTGGCGGAGTCGGTGGAGACGGAGCTGGTATTGCGCGAGACTCGATGCTGCTGTTGCTGTGAGAGGTGATGGTGATTCGCGGAGGAGAGCGCCGATGACTGCTGAGAAGGAATCGACATTGAGACAATGGAAGGACGGAAGACGCCGGGGATGTGACTGCCGCGATGGTAGGTAGTCCCTCCATTGGCCACAAGCATGGAAGTATGAGGAGGGAGAAGGGTCGGAACGTTCACCAGACAGGCTTTGTGCGCAGCCAAACCGGTTTCTACAGGAGTTGGAATGAATTATGCCATTGAGACCCACAATCTCAGCATATGATTTTCTGAGAACAATATAAAGTGTTAGACTATACGTTACACGGCCTCTTGTTTCTGCATTTAAAAACAAATTTGATGGTCTAAACAGAAAAAAAATCAAGAAATTGTGACGAATTTATGAAAATTGCGCAAATTAGAGTCGACTGGAAGATCCTATTAGTGTTTAAATGTAATTGTGATGCATTTAATCGGAAACGTTGAATCACGCAGTTTAAAGAAAGTGGAAACAACGGCACCACACGAGGTGGTCATGGGATACCACTTTACGTCCAGACACCGAAGTTCTGGGAATGTAGTGCACATCTTCCAAGAGTTATTTCCAGCTGCGCACAAAGCTCATAAAATCCCTATTCAGTGGAAAAAGGAATTCGCCTGTCATTGATACAGTTCTTTCAGTTGGGCATTGGCTATTGAGCTGAGGAGTTGGATCGAAACGATGAATTACGGTAAGCTTTACTCATCTTTATTTCCTTACAAATATTAATTCGGCAACCCAATTTGTGCAGCATATTACTCCAATAATGAAAAATAAAGGATAAATTGGCCAACAAAGTCACTCCCTATGTAAAAAATCAAATAAAAAACCCCGATCCAGTTTTAAAACTATTCTGACGACATGCAAAACAGCGAATTTAAAAATCAAAAAGAACTTTAAGCAGAGGGTGATAAAAGTGCTACTTACCTCTGCATTGGTATCCCTGATAGAAGACACCCTGAAGTAGTTTTTTACACACGCAACAATAAGTTGTTTGCTTGAAAGTTGCCATCTCAAATTGATAACCATTGTCCTTGGCTCCGGGAGGAAACTGATTACTCCTAAAATGTACAATCGGTCATAAATAGCTTTTAAAACTGAGAAGACCTTAATAAGCCATGATGAAAAATTGATTCTCATGCACCTACAACAACCAAAGAGATTTAAATTTCGCATATGGCAAAAATTTTAATGTACTAGGGCTAAATTCAGGAAAACTACTTCCGATTAATTTAATTTAAAAAGATTCATTGACAGAATATAGATCCAGTCCTGATAAGAAGACGTTGTAAACAAGCTTTCAATTCCAAATATGATCAACAATAAACATGGAAGTGATAGAGGTTTGTGAAAGGTGCGGTGGGAAGAACTCAAAGGAGCACAAAATACGCCAAGAATGGTACTTACAACGCCGTTTCAGTGGCCTTAATCCAAGCATTTCGGAACTCCTCCGATTTTGCAAAGAAGGTCAATTGAACGTCTTCATCGCGTTCACCGGCCAACGGAATAGTGAACTCATAGGGAAACTAGGTGCAAATGGGCAGACATGACATGAATAAGAAAATGGAATATTTTAACCGTATGGTCAATAGAAAACTAAAATGAGGTGAGTATAGCACCATTGAACAAGGACTGATGCTCAATGCGCCTCTTATCATCATCTAGCCATGATTTACTCAATGGTCAAGTGATTATTCGGAATGGGAACCTAAGGGGCCACTTTCAGCCGATCACATGTTGCGAGGTTCGAATAGCAAATCATGAACAAGCTGTGGTAATACATACCTTTCCTCCTTTCTTCGAGGGTAGACCAAGGGGTTGAGGTGAGCCGTTCACTATGTGGTAGGCGGCCATGAAGGTGTAATTGTCGCCCTAAGTAAAGCATACTAAGATCGTGAATTACTCCATCCATCCAAAGTTTCGTGTAAATAATTGACTATCAGAAGGCATCTTATTAAAACACCTGAAACTTATAAAAGGTAGTACCTGAATCAAAATGGAGGCAGAGCAGGCCATTTAAAAGAATCAAGGTGACAGAATGCATAGGCCGACAGTCCCCAAAAGAGTGGTCTTAAAAGAGGATCAAAAAATAACGATTGCACTGAAAACGCTACTTTGAAAGGTGACTATCCGTAGGAAGTAAAAATTGAAAGAAAAAACAGTAAACCTCCAGCCACGGTAGCTGGAATTTTTGGGAAAAAATAGTTAAAAAGTAAGCAATCATTGATACTGCCCCGATGGAACACTTTAAGACCGTTTGAAAACTTCTGAATGAGTAAAGGTACTCATTATGCAGATTACTTGACTGATGACTGGAAAATCGGCTGAGAGTTAATGACAACACTGAATCGAAAATACGGAACCCAAGACTCGAGGTCACATCTTGTTTGTAACTGAAATGCATTTTTAGCAGCATGAAACTCGTAGAAAAATGAAAGGATAGTATCAAGTGGGGTACATAGGAGACTGCTTTGGTGTCGGCTGTGAGGGAGACAAGACATGACTTTGGGAAAAGTCACTAAAGTCACGACTCAGTTTTAGGAGGATGTGTGAATGAATGAAAGGCACGGGTCGAAAGCCCAATTGGTCTCTAAAAAAGTGTTTCTTAGACGTCCTTTACGCATTAGACGGATAAACAAGAGTACCCACGACCCTCCGGGGCCGAGTTGGGCACCAGGTTTTAGTCAACAAATTAGGCGTACTTGGCAACAAACTTGGGAATAAAACGAAGCAAATTTATAAATAACTCACATAGTAAAAGTTAGCCATGTCCAAATCAGAATTTAGGCGAAAAGATTAAATTGGCGACTTAGCATTAATAAACAGGCAGAAAAGAAGTGTTATTAAAATCAAGCTCCCAGTCAGAATCGTATAAAGTAGGAGACCGCTTAATATTCTTTTGAGATTGACTAACAAATTGTTAGGGTTATTATGTTTGCTTAAACAACTAAACTTTAACAATGGCTCAAAGCCTCAAATATGCACAAATGAAGTTTAAAAAATACCATAAATGTATTGATAGCTGAACTAGTGCGGAGTAATGCATAGGGGCGATCAGACGTCACCGCTAAAAGCCTGAATTGTGCAACAACAGAAGTGAACGCTCAAAGGAGGCACATCATTGCCAACACTTTTGTTTTAAGACTTGGTTTAATGATAAACAAGCAAACAAATTCTGCAGTCAAGGATGATGAAATAATCGAAAGCAGTGTCAGCACACCTTTCCACAATAAACAAGGAACAGGAAAAATGAGTGGGATTTCAGAGAGAACGATGATTACCGTTTATCGTTTTGATGCTGAACCCCCAAAAGTAAGTTAATAAAAGGGATTTTACTCCCCCTATTTAGAGCACTAAAACCACGCACGGCCCACTTTTATTCGAAACATAAATTACGAGTGTTACGGCAGCCTAAAAAATACACAGATCAAGAGATAAACTCCCTTGTTTTTGGTAAAAATATAGCCCTTAACCTAACCAAATTCAAATAATCAATGCATTTATCTAAATAAACAAGTTGTAAATGTCATACGAATGTGAAGGCAAAGAGAACGTTAGACGCTGCATCCACTACGACATATCAATTTGGGAATCTCACTGGCGCGTGGATAAAACTGCAGTTACTTTTATGGAAAATAAACGAGAAAATGCCCGAATTAATCGTTGCTATGACTTATGCGATCAAATCGAACGATTGTACCAGAGGTAATTATGACTGCCCCAAATGGAATCTCTTGGACTATTTCCACTCAGGAACCGTTAGACACAATTAGAGAACACCATACCCTTTGATTTCAAAGAAAGGAATGTTCCTCTTTAGTAGTTTACGTGCGACAAAACATAGATATCAAAAAAGAATGTTGTTCAAAGAACTAAGTGCGGGTTGATGTAGAATTTTTGTTGGAGATTAGGCGTGAAATTTAGCCCGAGTTGCCATTAGCATACCATCAACATATAACAAATGATACAGGGATAAAATATTCTGACTGTTTTGCAATAAAAAACAACGGGCCCAATTTTTTACGCAGAACAATTAGTGATGATAGGAGGTCCAGAAGAGGTGAATCGCGACAGTTTCGGCCAGTTAATGAGACCCGTGATTAGTCATGTAGAGGTGTGGGGTTGGAGCCTGGCACAAATAACGACCTCTGCCTATGCAGAAAAGAAAGATCGCAGGCTCTAAGCAATCTAGCCGGATACAAACTCTTCGTTGAAAGTTTTAAAATAATCGTCTGAGCCTTGGTCGCTTAAAAAGCGAAATCGCAAAGCTGTTCTGTCAGAAATCGCCCAGAACAAGAATCTTTAGGATTTCCAACACTTTAAATTATTACGGCCAGTGGACGGAATTTGAAAAGTTGACATGAAGGGAAATTGAATGCAAGAATATCCATGAACCCTTTGTTTATCACGTCAGCACTTGGGGAGGAATTTGGAGAGAAGCAACAAAAAAAGTGCCTCAAGAGCATATTAGCATAACTGTGTTTAAAAGGTGATGCAACCAAACGCAATAAGCCTCACAGACAACGCAAAACCCCAAACAACATGCAGAAATTCGCTTCAGTGCCACCATCGGAAACACGTTTCCTTCCCTTACTTGAAGATGAAACTACTTACCCTGGATCGTGAAAGGTTTCACTTTAAACGCAGAGAATATAGGATAAAGACTACAGTAGTGCCCTTAAATTTAGTGTCAAATTCAGGAACACGAGTAGAAGTAAAACAGTGACAGTTAATGGTAAAATGAAACCTAGACCACAAACACCGCAGCAAGAAGAACCTAAACACAGGCAGATGGAAGTTTTTTATAGTATACGAAACGCCTAACCTTGACAATCATAAGACGAATAAGAAAATTAAACAAGCAGTGTTTGATTAAGATCACGAAAGAGCGAAAGCGTAAAAAAGTGTGCAGTTAGAAATTGATGTGGACGCAAAAAGTGGGAAGCAAATGTCAGTGATAAAAAGGGTATGTGCTTCTCAAACCGAGGCCTTCATTCTATCGGTTACCTTTGTGTAATTCGGTGCTCCCCCAAAAACGTAAGATGTGCGATCAACAATGTGCTCCTGCACCTGGAAATGGCATCGCAATCGTTGAAATGTTGCGTATCAACAAAAATATAAGGGTCCACGACATATACGGATCGGCAAGAGTGAATGACAAATGATCAAATAATTGCTAACGAAACAGGAGATATTGCCTAATAAGCGCAGAAGACAAAAATATGGAAAAACAGCTCACTTCACTTACAAAATAATGATTATCTGAATTTGGAATTATTTAGTTATAGCTAGAAAGCAATGCTTAGACATTAACTTTGAAAATTTCCCGGGTGCGTAAATTAGGGTAGAAGGTCATAGTTAGCCCCGAGGGCGTTCAAAGTGTGGCCTAGACCTCAGAGCCAATTTTCACAGGAGCGGGGAGTGACGCAGGGTAGTAAGGGAAGGAGGTAGGAATTACGCGTGGTGGACTTAGTCACTAGCAGAACCATAAACCGCAACAACCCTCACATGCGTGCAATTGAAAGCGCCACACAATCTAGTACGACTTTTGTGTCATATCTAAGTCCGACATGGTGGTGTGAGGCATGAACAAATGCTTTTATGCATAAAGGAAGGTGGTAGTAAATAGGAAAATCCACAGCACCAAAGGAAAAGTGAGCGGTGGTTATCAAAGTGAAAAACGCAAGTGATGAGGAGTCGGTTGTTACATTAATACCAAGCTTTCAAGTGAATATATTAAAGTATAAAATAAATACTCATTTGTGCGTTGTATTTACTAAGGGAAGGAAACAGAACAAAGCATAACAGAAATGTTAAAGTAGTTCAGCAACACAAAGTGACTATTTGTCCAATAACATGTGGTCGGGAAACCAATGCTATACAATAACGCCTTTTGCGAACTTTGCGCCGTTATTTGCGATATTCAAATGTGGATTTGTTTTATCAGTAGGCGCCGAGTTGGCAAAACACCGAGGTGTGGTAAAGGGTGCAGTACTAGCTAAGCTAAAGCACTTACATTTAGACAAAACTTAAAACGTGTTAATTAACTTTAGCCTAGAAGTGGATAATGTACCCACTCTCACGGTTAAAAACTAATCGAGGACACACTTCGGGTGACTGGGGTGGGGGGAATGATGAGCAATAAACGGAGAAATTGACGGCTTGCCTTTGACTTGCACAGAAGGAGGATTTTGTCGAAGAGGAAAACATATCTAAAAGTGTGAAAGAAGGAACATGTAAGGAGGCTTAGGTGACCGATGGGGCGGCTGATTTGCATTTCACAAAACACAACCGTACGTGATATTAAAGATCAATTTCACCAAAAAAAAGTAGAAAATCAAGCGAATAGAAAGAAGTGAATATTTGTCTAGATAACCTATGATGCAAGTATCCCCTGACATTACTAGCAAATTTTAAATCAAGCCAAGGGAGTGCCCACATGTGCACCAATTCAAAATGGCCCGTCAGGGATGAAATTACCGCTTTCAGTGATAAATATGCTATCTGAGTACTTTATTTCTTAACTGCGTACAAACTGACTGACAGGAGGATTACTGTAAGGCAGGGTAATGGACATACTCAAAATGGATCCATGCGTCAACCATTTCTTCCGATACATTTGTCAGATGGCATCCATCAACGAACGTTTCACAGGATCTGCTGTGGATCCTCTTTATTAACCACGGAAAAACGTGACAGAGAGTGACATGAAGCACACTCACCTTGTCTAAACAGCCAAATTGACTACCATTTCCGGATTTCACCTGCCAACTTCTACCTGTCATGACCAATGTCAATGACACAGGCCAAAAGAGTGACACGCAAGATAACCTGACCAGACACGCAGGGTAAGTGTGAGCGCACGAAATAGGGGGTTAAGTGATCTCATCCTAAATGATGGGGAACAACATAAATTTAACGATAGTTAAGTATACAAATTCACAAGACCCCTTGTCCCATGAGGTTCCCAAGACGACAACTCTTGTAGGATGAAAAGGGGACAATACAAGACGATTGGGATGCTAGACCATGGGCATTAAATTGGCGGATAGAAAACAATTGAACATTTATTGCGGAAGTGAGAAAGCGGAAATGTATCAGTGCGATACCCAAACACAAACACGCACACAGTCGTGGCAAACTCCCACGCCCGAGCACTTTTTAGACAATGGAATCGACAGGCCACGTCATAAAAGTCGGAACGACACATCCCATGGGTAAGAACAAGAAAAAGTCGCCTACAGTGCACATGGACACGATTGGCGAGTGAAGTATCAATGCATGCGATTCGTAATCGCACCTTGTCCGGCTATTCAAAAATCAGTGCGCCAATGAATGCAAAATGAATGGAAATGCATTTCGAAGAACAAACACAAAAGTATGCCTGCCTAAAGTGTAAGATGAGTCTACAAGCTTAAAGATGTATTGAACAGATACATATCATATGCTGGCATGCCTGCCACGGATCAAAAGACTACTTTATCAAAAAGACGAAATAAAAGGATGGTTGTGATCTGTTGAGGTGATATCGACTTCACAAAGCTCCTGGAGAAAGGTCAATTATTAACTTGAACATTAATAAATAAGATAGGAGGTCAGAACCAAAGTGGATAAAATAGCACGGTCAACGATGCAGAGGTATCTTCATAATTTTCTGGATTAACGAACGCTTACTCCTTCAAACAAGAGAAAAAGCAACTTTGTTAACACCTTCAATTATAAAGAATGCCTTAAGTCACGAAGCACTTTGGTGATGAAGGTGGAAATATTTTATAATCTCTTCCATCACATAGTGGCTAAGTTCAACAATCACACTAACCTAACGAAGTTTAAACGTTTACACACGTGAACTCGAATGACCTAAGCATACAATATAACCTACTCTAAAATAAATGAGGTTTTTAAACGAGAGACGATATACATTAACCTTCAGGTACGTTTTATATGGATATTCACGTATTTAGTCACATGGAATGGGGGATTTGTGGTATTGGGTTAAGCAGTTACGACGACATCCCGTGAGTAGACAATCGGTTGCAGTTCGAACACGGGAAGGCATCTTACGCACGCCACCAATGAATACATCTATTAATAAAGGGAATACGATTTTGCAGTTGGATGTCTATCAGCGACAGTATCGGCAACAGGTAAAATTGAAGGGTGGATAGTGTAAACAAACATGGAGAGACATAAAACATTAAAAAAGTATAGTTTTAGAAATGTGCGGATGTCACATAAGAAGCATAATTTAAAGTTACTTTGAAAATGGCACAAAATTAGTGTTCTGTTTCGGTTTACTGGGCGTCTGAACAACGCACAGCTTGATGCAAATGATTAACTGAAAATTCAGCTGGTGAAGAGGATGCGCACAGGAAGGGTAGTGATGGGAAAGCTACGGACAACTCATCTTAACGAGGTGATATAGTAAATTACTCTTCTATCATATTATAAATTTCACCTTCTTGCTTTATCGGACTGAAAAATTTTGTGACGTTTTACAAAAATCCGAATATTTTTTTACTGAATCGACCTACTCCAAATATATATATATTAAGTCCCAATAAAGCAAAGTAAATATGAAACAAAAATGTTAGATAGTACAGCATTAGTCGGAAGTGGTTCAACAAAGCGCATGGTTGTGGGTTGCTTTCCAGGGGCATTCAGCATGCTTTACAACATATTTGAAACTAGTTTCAAAATCTCCTCTCCAGTTTGCATCATACCTGCCTAGAAAAGATTATTTCGAGCGTAACAATAAGGTGGGAGGTTTAGCTCAAGAAAAAGACAAGTCACACAGTACCACAGCAGGTAAAGGTGTGTATTTATTGGGTACTTTAGTAAATGAGCAGTTGTCTCGCCAAAAATGATTTTTTTTCACTGATCATTTCACAATCCAAAACGCCCTCTACTGCAAATCCAGAAAAGCTCAAATCGAGGTAAAACGTCAAGAGGAAAGTAGAAAAGAGGCAGAATCAAGTTGGTCGTTAAATGGAAAAGCCTTTCCAGTCTCGTAACTGTCACGAGTCACCCACTTGATTTATCAACCATCTTGATGCCAAAGCCGTGCATTCATAATTAACTACGTTTCAGAGGCAACTCTTCATTAGAAAGTTCTTGATTGATAATAAACATCCAGTGGTGGCTCAAATCAACTCGTCAAAACTTGAATAATGTCCGAGCATTACAGGGGATTCACCTCCACGACAGGCACTAAAATGCAAAATCTCCTGCTTTAGACAATCGTCATATTGATGAAAGCGAGAGGTGAGTTACGTAGAGCGTAACTGTCATCTTCAACAGGTTCTCGTTCTTTTCCAGACGCCTTGTATGTACATATACATTATATGGCATATTCATCATGGGTCTGGTGCACAAATTTAGTTGTCTAGGCAATGACCTCACCAAATAACAACTTCTACACATCCGTAACCCGAATAAATGTGAGAAGATAGAAAGCTGTAGGAAGAAAGACATAAAAATACAAATAGGAAAAGCTGTTAGATGTCGATAAAACCGTAGACTTCTAAATCTCGAAATGCTCCTTATTTTTATGCAATGATAGACAATTGTTTATGTTAAAATCTGGTCGTTATAAATAAGGTAGCATGACACTGTTTCTCACGCCTAAATATCATCCACAAGGTAATCACCCAAGCCCGGACACACGATGATCAAGCAGTAAAGCCTGCAGAAGTGGAGGTAGATCCTCTGTGTACGTCTTGTACTTGTTAAAAGATTAAAATAAAGGATTTGTAAAAAGACGCACTTTGAAATTGTCGCCCTCGCTATGGAGCAAGTCGGTGAATGTCATGATCTGGTTTAAACCGGAGCAAAAATGAATTAAAGCAAGGCAAATAATGAGAGTAGACGAGCCAAAGTGGGCTGGGTAGAGCGATATTGAGTCAGACTTAATAGCTTGCCTGCAAACTGATATACAGTCGATACTTGTATTCGTAAAAGAAAATTTTTAGAAAGAAAATCTCCAGAGTTGATATGTGCAAATACTGCGATAGCTTATCGAAATAGGAGGGTGCATTATTAGATTGAGCATTTTAGCAAGGCTCAAAAAGCATATGAGTTAAAAAAACTGATGGTTAAATCGGAACTAGGACGTGACATGCTGACCGTAGTATCGATACGAGGATTACCAAAATGGTGGCCTTAGGCCCATAGGCTAGCCAGAAATAGCACCGCGAGCTGTCAGGGCAGACAGGTTGGTACTTCAATTTTTCACTTCGTATCACGAAAACGTAAAAAAGAAAAAAAGAGGATGTTACCTCTCTAATGCATCAAAAAACATTCAAATCTCGAGGACATTCGATACAAAGACTCAACCAATTAGATGACTAAAGGTAACGGAAAATTCCATATTTGAGAAAAAAGTACCAAAGCAGCAGGAATACCGTAGTAAAAAAGGAAAATATAAAACCAGCATTACCGAATTTTTGATTTGGAGTCCAGATGATTCAACACACGCAATTCCCCGTCAATGTGGCGGCGACCATAGCTGGATAATTTTTTGTCGGGTGGCTAAAATACGGATCAGTATGGCATTAACGTGCACAGAAAAAACCTGAACGATAAAAGACTAAATTTGTTTAAGCATCTGAAATGGTTATTAATACTGGATGCCCATACCAGACAGTAACACCAAGTGTGATTCCCGAAAACGAAATGTTTATTCGCAAGAAGCGTTAAACTAGTCTGTAAATGTCTCAAGCAGTGTAAAGGGGGCATGCATAAATTGAACATTATTATAAAGAGAGTATGACAAGTAAAATATGTAACTAATTCATTCAAGAAAAAGATTGCATGTGTGAATTCACCCAAAAAACTGACCACTTTCACATAATGCTGGAAGAGAGATCCTTTAGCATTTATACGGCACATAAAAGGTGTCCTCTTATTAAGAGTTTATATGGAGAATAAAATACCGTTTTGGAGCACCAGCATCGCTACTATAGGTATTAAAGGAATAAAACAACCAAGCATTGAAACCTCGGACACGTTTTTTTCTAACACACATTCGATCCCACTGAGTCGACATGTCTACAAACTTTTTGACTGGGTAATATGGACACCACGAAGATGTAAGCTGTGCGGTGTGTGAAAATTCCACTCCCCATTATTGCTGCGCACCCTAGAGAGATAAAGTGCATTCAACAACCGACACCACCACCACGCGGTCAGAGTGCACTCTCTCACGAGCGCGTTTCACAGAATTTATCCTGCCAAAGGTAGCGATACCCACGACTTACTCGTCCACCTTGAAGTGCAACCAAGTCCGTAGAACACGAAAGACGAATAGATTGTGGTAAGCAATTAGGCAGATTCGCGTTGATGCAGCTCCAAAATAAATGCTTAACAGACCCTTTTCAAAGACAGACGGGGCGGAAACGGTTAAAAGTACATAATTGTGTCTCAATGCTGCGCAGTTAGGGTGCGAGCAATCAATCGAATGGCAATGGGCAATGATAACTTTGAATTAAAGCATTATGTTGGAAAGAAATGAGCAAAAAGTACCGCTACCAACTTGAAAGTTACAAACAGTAGTAATGTGCCGACCACATCAACATCTGCTGCTGCATCGAGGTGAAGCTATTATAGTTACAAAAGAGTGCTAAACTGGAATACTCCGTCAACCTAGAGAATAAACTCGTAGCTCATAGTTCTTGAGTTAACCTGGCGACTCCTCATTAACTCAAGTTGCACAATGTAAATAAAATTAACATGAATAACGGCTCGATTTATTCTACGATCGCTTCGCACAGGGGAGTAGGGCATTTCGGTAGCACAAATACTTCGATCAACCAGCTAATCCGATGCTCCCAAAAGGATATGGCCCATTCCTCTTCTCCCAATGCAACACGCACCCAAGATAAGACCACGTGTCTGTAAGGTGCTTCCGAAAGGGCGTTAGGATAAACTTCACAAAAATGCAAAACCAAACTTTTTAAACAAGGTTCAAGTCAGCAGTGGAACCCAGTGTTTTATAAACATGCCGTTCATTAGATATCAGCAACAAATCTAGACACTATGTAGGGCAAAGTTGATTAAAAAATACTACCAAACTAAAACCTCCACTTTGCAACACCCCCTTACAATCTGAATTGTACAAATACGTCGAGTGGTAAAAGGAAGATTGGGTTAAAGCTTAAAGGGGAAAAAACAGCAAAAACTCCACTAAGACTCAAGAGGGGTCAAGAATGCTGAAGCAATTGCGCCCATTTTGACTAGACTAAATTACTGAAAGTGTGAATTTTATTTTAGCCTGACTGAAGATGAAATAAGCATTAGGCTAGTAAAATCGCAGTCATTTTGAGAATACACAAATCGGTAGTCGACATGCAAACTAGGTTTTTGCCTTAGCAACTTACACGATTTACCCCCCAGGCAGCGACACACATTAAAGGTCCATAAAGGCTACCCACGCTTGAATGCCACTAGTTTGACATTCTATTCCCACGGGTTTGAAAACTTAAACGAGGCTATACAGCAACCAGCGGAATAATAGAACTAAAGACTACTAATTACTAGCAATAGGACTGACACCAACAGGACGATTAACCAAATTCGTACGGAGTAGGCACCAGATTCGTTTAAAAGAACGTCAATGTCCAGATTAAGGCGTTTCAGTGAGCAGTTACCACCTCCCTTCCCAGATTATTTTAAGTTATAGATGTAAAAATTCCAACAAAAAACCATCAACATAATGGTGCCTGAAGAAACAAACATGCTTTGTACTAACTAGCCAATGACATCGATGGCTTTTCAAGATAAGTGCCACGCGATAAAAGCACTACCTTGCTTTATTTTTGCGTTAACGAAAAAAAGCCACGGACAGTACTTTGTCTTAACGTCCAAGGACAGGACAACTGACATAATGGACAACAGATTTCTAACAGAATGACTGCAAATAAAGAAGAATGTTAGCGTTAAAAAAGGCCAATAACCACCTTTAAAGAAAATGACTATCCCTGTGGGAAAAATTCAGAAGGAATGCGCACGATTCCAACCTGGTCAAACCAGCAGTTGGCTTCGAGAATGTAACAGGTAAGTTATCGTAGTTAAAAGTGAGGTAAACGACGAACAAATTAGACCTGAGGACACTTTTACGTGCTAGTAGGAGCTATAGATAGACGTAAAGGATCCCATACAGAGATTACAATAATGTACCACCTTTACTGTACCATAGTGGGTTATTGAAAAACAAGCTGAGAAGCTATAGATTAACCTAAGACATATAATACCATTAGTGTACACTTAACAAGTAGACAACTGAATAAACCGATAAAACTATTCATCATTTTACAAGTAAAAAACAATTTTTGGTAAAACTGTAGGGACAATTTGAAGCGATGCCTATAGGAATTAATTTAAAGCCCAAACAATGAATTAAAAGCTTTAATTATTCGTGAAATAATGGGGAAGATAATCGGTTAGGCAGACTAGGGCAATAACAGAAGATATTTTGCCCGGACAGGAGGGATAACAAAACCAAAACAGAAGGCAAGCAACTGCCTTTTTACCCCGGAGAAAATACAACCAGATATTGTTTATCACCACATCCAAACTCAGAAAACTGAGGTAAATGCCAAAGTATAAGGCCTGATTCGTTGTCATTTAACGTCTGTTGGATGTGAAATCCCTGAGGGCGAAGTGATGGTATAGGTTAGATTAACACAAATTGTTTAGAAAAGGTAGTTGAGAGGGAAGGTAAAGGACCAGATGCAGCGCAGATCTCATTTACGAACAATCATTGAAGGAAATACCAAGTTGTAGGACTTCGTTGCCGAGTACACGCAGTGAAACAAGATTCAACACATTTATTGGACGTCTCAAAAGTAGCCAAAACCACACCCTGGCAAAGTGCTTCAAATCGAAAATAACGCTCGAAAGACATTTGCATATATAACAATGAAGCAACTCACAAAACTCTGCTCACAAAATGCTTTTGGAGCCCAATACTAATGAAAAAAACTTGGAGTAACTCCTAAATGTTTCGGGATAAATGCTTCCGCAGCTTCAAATTTACAGACAAGCCAAATTTTGAGCCAGTGGTTAGAATGAGCGGTCTGGGTGGGAGTCTGTAGAAACACTAACAATAGATATTCGGTGACATAACACAAACAATTTCAGCGAGGCCCTATGTTTACCTTAATCACACACGTTACCGTTAACGGACAGGAGCTCAGTCAAATATGAACAATATTACGGGAGGTAAATGGAATTTTGGAAGTTACAAGCGCCAGTTGTAAGGACAGATAACCAAGCGATTATGACCCACTCAAACGCTGGACTGTCCAGTGTAACAAGAAAATGTGAGCCCTAGTTGTCAGTAATGCAAGTGAAAAAAAAATAGTTTCCTGATGGTGCTTAGTTTCACGTAGGAGAACGCTCTCTGGAAACTATATGGCAAACTTTAAGTTGTTTCCAATCCTGTTGCGCTTGTGTCAAAATATGCGTACCAATATTAATAGAAACTAATGGGTAATAAACAAGTCAGATTGAAATAATATGACAACTGAAGTATATTACGACCGTATGATTAATAAAGCAAATGAAAGTACGGAGGGCTGAAAGACTTACAATGTGAATGAAGGTAACAGGTCGAACGTACCCAAATTGAAACTAAATCTGTGCTATTAGGTAGTCGTATCATAAAGGGCCACGTGACTCCGATTACTACAAGAAATGCGGTTCCAGAAGGCTTTCTTGATATACCTGCACTCTAAGTTAGCCGTGAGAATCACTCCAAAGATCATGAGGCTGAATCTCACACGAGAAGGAAGACCAAAACATGCTGATTTATGATCAGCAATCGCTACATCAAAACGCTACTATCCATTGAAAGACAAAATAACTGGATCAGGATACATCATATTCATGTATTATATCTCAAAAGGAGAATTTTGGAGAGGAAGTTTAGTGAGTAGAAGGGCATGAGTAAGAAAATTGATACGGCTTGAAAAAAGCTACGCAAAGTTTTTTTGCGAGGGAAAAACGTTCAGGTTTACAGACTAAATAGAGGAATTATGAACAGAGGATTCCAACTCCATTTAAAAAAGCGGTTTGGGAAGAGAATAAAAATCAGGTTGATCTGAGACCTAAAAAACAATCTCTTGAGTTGAAATGAATAGTGGGTAAATGATGATACCGTGCGTCAGTTAAACCATTTGGTTTTTTTCCGAAAACATGAATAATTTGAGACAATTAAACAGGAAAGGACGAAAGCCCGTATTGCGTGAAAGCAGTCAGATGAGTGATGGAACGTGGGAGACCTCACTAAGAAGCCCGTGGTGGAAGCACAACAATGAGGTCTGAGCTGCTTTGCGCCAGACAACGAGAGCAAAAATGTCCCCAGGAAATGGCTAATGCCAAGAAAGTTTCGCCACTTTTTTGTCCGATCGACAACCAACAAGTAGAAAAGCAGAAAGAGCCCCGAATTTGAGCACGTAAATATGACAAGGTAGATTTGAAAGGTAAAGAAAAAGTATGTTCAAATAAGCCTTCTCAATGGAAAATAATTCAAAGCGTCAAAGAAAACAGTGCGCGAATTGTCAAGAAAATAACTGACAATGACTTCTTAGTAGATGATAATTTATTAGAATTGCAAAGCATTTGATTAAAAAAGGAATGAAAAAATAGCAAGTTAGTCCCAGAACCCTACTGTCGCAAGTGACTGTTCAACCGAGAGATAATTTGGCTGTCGCCGAGGTAGGGAAATCAATCACGGCAGTTTTTATGAACTACGAATAGAGTCCAAGCCATCTACATGTGGCTCATTGCACAAGAATCGAATATTGTACATGCATTTTTCTACGCAATTATATCATAAGGAGCGTAGAAAATCACGAATATTCGCAAGTAACACTCACCAACGTTATTTCCAGAAGGCTAAAACAAAAAAGACGAGAATTATAAGTCAAATCATGTTAGACTATAGTCAATGAAGAAACCAACTTTCAATAATCATTGCTAATTTCATTTGAACCTGAGAGTTGATACGCAAAATCAAATGACCTTTTAAGCACCGGCAGCGTTACCAGCTTGTTATTCACCGGTGCCACAAAAACCTACTGTTATGGAATCCACTTGATTTAAAGGAATAACTCATCCCAAAGGTAAAGCAAACCCATTGAGGAGCTTGAACAGCAGAAAGGCAATGAAGAAAAAACGTCCAAAAAATCCTCACTAGAATGACCCCCAAAGGTCGCTTGAACGTGCACACCAGGGTACATTCCAAGCTTTCGATAGGGACGGATAAAAAGTGCACGGCTGTAAAGCTCACAAACAGGTTACAACTCATTTCCGTTAAAAGGGAGAAATTAATTTTAAATTGCTTAATGAAATATTTAGCAGAAATGTCATTAAAAATAGAAGCTTTGCAACTGCCTTCACTGAAGTAGTTAGTGATGAGCATTGGTTTACGCGGAATATCCGTAGATTAAAAAATCTTTGCACAAATAGCTTGTAAAGAACCAGAGATGTAAAGGCCGACAGCATTATACACAATGAAGTCAGGCAGCATTTCAACCAAGAAGCAAAACATCCAAAACCGTGATTACATAGGAATGTAAGTCCGAAGCAAAAGGTACAGATGAAAATGATAAAGGGCGGAAGGGATACCTTGCTTGAATTTGATCGATGGCACTAATGGTGTCCAAGTCGCGTTTCACTTCATTGATTGTCTGTGCGAGCTCCCGCATACCATCCAAAGCTGTCAACAACTCGGGCTTTTCAGGGTGATCATCATCCGTTAGCCTACAGAGTTGCTAGGAGAATAAAAATAGCTGATTAGCACATTGGGATTGCTTATTTAGTTAATAATATAATTTGATTAATAGTAGGGATGTAAGTGCACTATGGCTGCACAAAATAAATGCCATTTAATGACAGTTCTTTGGGTAAGTCGAACTAGAGCCTAGAACAACTTGTAATGGGTCATAATTTCAATAACAAATCCAGTAAATTAAAATTACCGTTGCATAATTTCAACAATCATGGGAGACTAGTATTACGATTGGTAGTTAATTTGCATAATCACCAACCTGCTCAAAATTAAGATCATCAACATACCTCAAGCAAGAGATGATACTTCAAAACCCTCTGCATCGGAACAGTTAAGAGCTCCGTGAGATGAAATTTACTGTAATTTTCGGACTGAGCTTGGCATTCCTTAAAAAAGTTATGCAGAAACGTGAAAATGAGGACAAATGAAAGTACGAAAATTTGTTAAACCACCAGAAACCTGAATTTTGGTTCGTTTTTCAACATCATTTTTGGTTATTTCTAAGACAAGCGTCTGGGCCTTTTGAACATGACCACAGTATCCACCATAAATCAGCAGTCGATCTCGAATCTTTATGAAGACCTCGCCAAGCGTTAGCACCGCCAATGTCGTGCTAACTGCCAGGCTCAAGTTCGAGAGGAGTTCACGATGAATGCAATGAAGTTCCTGCGGTAAATGATGCAATGATTAAGCCAAACTAGATGAAAATCACCTCAATATACTTGAAAATCTCCTCCAATTCCTGTGATGAAAGACACTTCGATAGCGGCCACTTATATTTCTAAGGAAAGAACGTCGGTTCACAAAAAAGTACGTCTACCTCAATGAGCATCTTTAGAACATCAACGTAGTTTTTTTCGGTAGATACAATCTCTTTTATACAAAACGATCTTGGAGATGTAGGCTCATCTTCTGTCTGCTACAAGATATGGTAATTCTGCTGTTGGGAAATTACCGTCATGGAACCTTTCCCACCATGAACGATTGTATCATAAACAATTTCATTGGTTTCTTCCTCCATATCAGCATAATTAGATTCTGCAGTAGCTTGCATATCTTCCCTAGCATAAGAGTTTAATAAAAAATGGTATTGAATACATGGAGGCAGCGATATCTTTAAGGTTATTGTAATATTCGTGGGGGACTTGAAGGTTTCCATTTTCGGGAGGAAATCCTCTATCGTAACGGTATGAATGTAAAAAAATAGCATACGGTATTCCACAGAGCTGAGCCCGGGGGCAACGGGATAGCCGCGATAAAAGCTCAATGACTTTCCCAAAGTTCTTCGCGTGATACAAATCACCTGGTTCAATAAGGTAACTTTTATCAATTCCAAATTCCTCCTCACATAACTTCACAAATAATCGGATATTTTTGAAACACAAAAATGGCGACTGTTGCGTTTGCGGGCTAAAATCCCTCATTTTTCTTGGGTCAACTTCACCATTCGTCAACGTGTTTAAAAGATTGCAGAGTTTAACACCATCCATAAGAGTTTGAACTAGCTGCAAGCCACAGCCATCGGGCATCAAAGTTGGATGATCATCCGGAATAGTACGACACCGATTTAACCACTCAGCACACTGTCGTAAATCGCACTCCTCTTCGGAGGCAGAATTGGTGTTTGACGCAGGCATAATTAAACCGACGAGACAACACCCATCAGAAAGCGATACCTAGTAGGAGTTCCGCTAATCAGAATACCAAAACCTAGGTCTCAAATACTATAGTGAGCATGAAAAGCAAGGAAGTATGAGGATAAGCATACCAACGACAATCCCAAAATTGGCGAATAGTTAACGCGCAGAACCACACATAAAACTGGCGCTTCTCCGGCTGAAACTGCTATTTATCTTATTAAAAATAAACCAGTAAATACCTTTTGTGCAAGAAAATCATACTTCCTGGGAATTAGCTATTAATAATAAACACATTTGCAGGTTACTGAAAACACAAAAAAGCGACATGCAGGTATCATCGTTAGATCTAAAAGTAAAAAACGTTATTTATTTCCAGAAATCAAGACTAACTTATGCCTATAACTAATTTTCTGGAAAAACGAGGTAGGAGTCTTTTATTTATCTAGATTAATATAATTCTAGATTCACTCAGTCTCGGGGTTGTTGAAATCATTTGGCATCTCCCATATCTTGAAATATCATAAAACCTTTTAAAAAAGACGAGTTTGCTAAGCAACAAGGCTAAGTATTCGTGCAAAGCTTGTTTAGCTAAACACGACCACGGTACGTTCAGGCCACTGCTTGCCTGCATAAGCATTGCCACGTGAGTACCCCCTCGACCACTATGCAATAGACTCAGTGTAGCGTCCCGAGACTCCCTGAAGACGAAATAAGGCACAATACTTGGGCAGAATACATATATTAAGCAAGGATAAGGTGTCTGGGCTATTGGCATGGCCCAAAAGGCCAGCCCACCCAGCAAGGTACAAGGGGGCTACTTCAAAGCACAAAAGTGGCGCATCGCCAGAACCGAGGGATAAACCACTACCGTATTGCACCAGTGTTTCTCTCTTCCCCTTCAGCCACATATCCTTGTAATGAGTAAACGAGCTGACCAAGGACACGATTTATAGGGCAACGGTTAATAAAAGGGCACAGATGACGCGGTTTATGTGTGTTCAATACCCGAATTCACCCTTCGGGGCCCGATGGTGCCAGACCCGCACGAATTTCGAATATTCTGGCCAACTTTCGCCCGAACGGCACATTTGTACAATCATGTAACGCAGTCATTCAGACAAAGATAGGGACCTGATTTTTGATAATGGTGATTTTGAAAAGATTTTCTGCCGCTAATTGTAGCGCATATTTGTTATTTTAAGTCCGATTGATTTTGCAATTAGAAAAAGAAGTATTTTATGGCTAAGTTTCCTTCGCTACGGTTTACCTTCCGTTTTACAAGCCTTATTATTTATTTTTCTACCATGCACTATCGTTATATCAAATGTTAAATTTAGTTTGATAGAATGCTCGTACAAATGCCTTAAATTCCAGTAAATCATGGTACTGGCCAAAGTATTCCCACCTTTACATTTTATTCTTCTTTTGTAAAGGTCACCATAAAAACTTTTATTATTTCTTTAATAATGAGAAATCCACTTTTTAATGTTCGTGTAATATATGTGTGAGCAGAGGACACTTCCTCCTAATTAATTGTTCAAAATTAGGCAGGCAGCGGAGGAAATGTTTGGACTCAAATAATTTAGTCATTAGAACTAAAGTCAGTATGGGCTTAGAGTCACAAAAACACTTAAAAATGAAGCTGGAATGTTGCATTGCTCCGACAATTTCCCTTCTTATTCGTTTTATGAAGAACAGGTGGAGAGTAGATGGACGGGTAGACTTGAGTGGCTGTGAAATTTGTCCGCCAATACGAGTTACTTTACCGGCCTGGTCGTTGTTTGGTCTGTTTTATCGCTTGTCGTTTTCCAGTGTGTAAAGCGTTATTAAAAGTGGTGGGATGTTTGTTTTCATTTATGACAGGGCACCCTCCTGCCTCGGGCATTTTTACTTTTGCATTTATCAATTGGATACAGCAATTATTGTTTATTTATGAATGTGGGCTCAAACAGTCGTTGTTTAACGAACGTTTAGGGATCTTTTTCAATGAGCATATCATAGCTTATCTTCACCCATTATAACATGTTCTTTGTCATCTAATAAAGTGACGTTCTGTGATTTGATTCGTTTTACTTGTTTTGAATCACTTATTAAGGATTTTTGGCCCAAATTTAGTCACCAACATCTGGAAGTCGTATTTTTACGGTATTTTGTGGTATCTCCATTCGCATTCTTCATTTCTGCCCTCGTTCGTTACTTCGTTAACTAATGTCGGTCACGCGTTTATTTGGATGCGATATCTGAACTAAATATCCAGCAATTATGTTTCTATATATACACATTTGTAAACTTGTTTTACGTGTTTGTGTCAATCTTATTTGGTACAGCTCATTCCCTTTATTGTCTTTATTTCTTTACTTTTAGACATGGCAACTGATCAGGAGCTTAAAATATCTCGAATGACCAAACGATCAATGAACAAAAAAATATTCAGTCGACCCAGCTACAAGCTTCGGGAATTTGTACTCACTCCTTTTCATATAAAATATTTTGAAGTCAGTGGTGGGGTAAGGCACCTCTTTCAACTGATTATGAATTTCAGAATCGGGGAAAAGAAAAGGGCCGCATCTCCCTTGCTCACGTTAAGTATGTAGAGAAGGTTTTGGATGACGATTTAGACAACAAAAAGAACGTCTTACAGGTACCATCTCTCACCTTTTAAAACGGCTTCTCTAAGATTGCCTATGTCGAAGATCCAAGTTCAATAAACTGGTTTCTGCTGTATATAGTGGCGCCTACGCTGATAGAACGAGATGATTGGATAAGTCTCATTCGATTTTGTAGGTTCCTTTGGATGAATCCATTGGTTGCTCTTCATTAGCGAACCTGATTGAAGTGTATTTATCTCCTAGTGTGACTGTTCTTAAGAGTTTTATACCCTTACAGCCGCGATTGACTATGAAACGGTTTAAGATAGTGAATATTGATACAAGAGAATGCGACCTCAAAGAGATGTCAACAGGTTGTAGATTTGATCCTAAATTTTATTCTGCATCTTGTATTACCATATTTGTTTGGCTATGAGCTTTCGTTCTCCTTTTTCTCCCCTCAGCGTTTTTTCTTTAAGTTCATTCATCTGAACCAAATTTCTCTTACAGAACATATTTAGTTATTTAAATAAATTACATATCAGTTATGCTTTTTCAGTATCTTGCTTTTAAGAATTGCGTAGTGATATGGGTTTTTGGTGGCAATCATCTATTTCTGCATCCATGTTCGTGGTTGATTGTTTTTACTCGAAAATAGCCTCTGTCTTCTGAGAACTAACCCTCGCTCTTGATTTAGTGCGAATCAGCTTGCTTTACTGGGATTTTGAGTCGTGTTATTCATTTGAACCTTTATCTCTTCATTGTCTTTGATCGTTTTACTTCCTTGAGTATGTATCCTAGTATCATCTTTATATATGCTGGTAAATCAAGTATGAACGTGGATAAAATGCAATCTAGACAGGCCATTCTTTCGACTTCAGATACAAGAGAGAGGGGTGCTTGCTTTCTGCCGCGTTATCATCCTGGTGTGTGGCGTCGTCCTGGTCGATACAGCTGCTGTGATGACATCAATCGTCGTTCCCTCGGTTGCCAGCATACCACTGACTCTGGATCGAACACCGAGGCAGCCGAGGCTCGTCGCTTCTCTGCCTTCCCAGGTTGTCTTCCCCCCGTCACCTCAACGGAGGTCCAGACGCCTTCCGTGCCTCCCCTGGGCGGCCAACAATCGGTTGCTGTCCAAGCTCCACCTCCTCCTCCTACTCAGGTGCCTCAGCAGTCCGTGGCCCAACCGATTGCAGGAAAGGTGATCATGGCCACCCCTCCCGCTCCTCCCCCAAATCCTGTCAGCATGTTCACCCAACAGCAATTGCTCTTCCAACAGCAACAACAGCAACAGCTGTTGCTCGCTCAGCAACACAAGCTGAGCATGCTTGCCGCTCAACCGCATTTGCAGCAGCAACAACAGTTGGCCGCTCGACGACCCGCAAGGCTGCCTCAATCTCCTGGTGGCCAATCCTTTGATTGGGTAAGCGCCTCCTTTTATCAGTCGTCACTTCCTACTGTCAAGTGTTAGGCTCATGATTCTTCTCTCCAGGCCCTTCGTTTACGTAATACATTTATCCATACTGTGTAGTGGTCATGTGGTCTCGTGTGCTACGTGATCATATGGAGAACTGTGAAGTGGTTATTGCTTTAATATAAGCATGCTTGAAGAGGCATTGCTAGTACTTGTTGGGCGCGACCTCTGATTACCCGAAGCACTTACCTCCAGCTTACCTAGGAAGGATTTTGGAGTTCTGGGAGAGTGTTAATTACCTCGCTCAACTTGTGTGGCGCTCTCATGCATGCTTTTCTCGCTTACCTTTAATTGATTTCATTTGATGCCTTGCTGAGTTGTTTTCGATTGTGCTCCCTCCCTCCAAGTGCGCTAGACAGTGACCGTTATGACGGCTGCGGGGCGCCCAGTTGCCAGGCTATGGCTTGATTTCGCGACACCGATTCACTGTGCTGCACTCTTAAGGCCCAATGTTGGGAGTCTCGCGTTTGCTCCGCCAGTCATTAGAATTATTTGTCTCTCCCAACACAATAGTTTGATTTATGCTGCCCTTATTTTGTTCCTTATCCCTCTAGTCCTTCGCTTTTTATATGTATGCAGGGCTAATTAAAATAAACCTTAGTGACTGTTTTGTTGTTCGTCACTTAGCGCCCAATTTATGTCTGTTTTATGTTATTTTTCGTTTTACTTTCTGAATTGTATCTGTAGCCATATTTCATCAATTTCCTTATTCTTCGCCATACACCTTAGCAGAATGATTCCCTAATTATTTACGGTATTGCTAGATACATGGATTTTTTAGGTTAAATAGTTTGTTTGACTTTCTTTGAGACACAACTCGTGACAAAATTTTGTTTGAGGCTGGCATTTTGCTCCTAGTTTTACTATGGTTGCCGGCGTGCGGTATCAGTAAGTGTACTACCCCAAAAGCTTGTTTCATTTTCTGCTTTCTGCATCTTGTTGTTTACTAAACCTCTTTTTTGTTACTTGTTGATTACCTCTAAATATCCAAAAAGTGAGCTCACCTGCTCTTCGTTTTTTGAGTGCAATTACAGCCTTCGTGGTTCTTTTGTTATTATTTAAAATGCTCCTGTACTTCCTTTTTTTGGGCGAGGTGAGTTATGTGAGATACTGAGGAGGAACCGATATGGTGTGGTCCTGACCTCTTGTTAAACTGCTGCCTCGACTCCTATAAGTTAATTGGCTTTAAGGTAATCTCCCATACTGGTTTCGCTTTAGTGCATTAACCTTCATTGGGCAGTTTGCCTAATAATTTTACATTTGGGATAACAGATGGTAATGGATTTTAGTTAGGGGACTTTTGCACAGATCTACTTCATCAGAAATTGCACAATTTCATGGGAAGGTATAAAATGTTGTGCCTATGAATGTCATCACTTCACCTTTGTTAGTTGTGCTTCCACGGAGGACAGCATATTTCAGAAATTTAACGATGCCGCGCTTACCTCCTACATCTTTTCCTATAAAAACGCCTTGCTTGCATGTCAATGGTGTTGTTTTTCATTCGTCGGTTCCTCTCGAGTTTCGGCTATCCGTATACTTTTGTTTTCAGAAATTTTCCCTTATGTGTGAAATCAAATTTTCTTGCTTTGAGTATTTGTTCGCTTGCAATTCTCATGTTGGCTATTCGCCTGTGCCTACTGTAAAATCATCTGTGCCATCTTTTATTGAAAAGAGTTTGTAAAGTTATTGGGAAAACTTTCCTCTTTTTATCTTATGGCCACTTGATCGCCAATCAAATGATTGCGGTTCAAGCCTCGCACCCCAGGCTGGCTATTTCTTAAATTATTCCCCTACTTCCTTCCTTCAACGATTTTCTGTCACGTCTTGTTTCTTGATTTTCCGAGCGCCCTTTTTTGTGCCAAACAGTAACTGTTGTATGGCATTGCGATTCGTTCAGGTGATCTCTTTGAAGATCATACATTATTTAAATCATCAATATTTGGTCTCATTTGCCAGATTCAGAGCCCAAAGCAGCACCCCTCAAAACAACTCCTTCAAACCTCTTGTTAGCTACTCTCGTAGTGTGCAGCATTTTTGACCTTCACTGTGTTGCTCTTTCCCATTGAAAAACTTTGCGTTGGATGGATTATGGATGCTACTCTTAGAATTGGCCAGCCCATCAACTTCGTGTAAAAAAGTGTAACTTGATGGTGTATAGCATAAAAGCTTCCAATTGCAGTGGGACATTACTTTTGAATTTGCTGTAGTATTGTAGAATGCATCGAGTCTGCCACCTAGCTATTAAAAATGGTTAAAATCACTCACCTAACCCCACGTTTATTGGTACGCATTGTCGCATTAGGTATTATCAGGTAATGGGAATTTTCAAGTGTTCAACGCCTATAAGTTCTTTAGATGCTCATGCATTACCACGAACCGTTGTTTATCCGAGAAGTTCATCCGCATTCGTAGCATTCTACAATACACAATGCTTACTCCTATCTCACTTCAATGTTAAGCTAGGTTTAATCACTACGCTATACAGCAAAGCGGCTTGGAACCGTGAATTACACTTTGGGGCAAAAGTGCTAACTGGCCATCAAATGCGGTGGTGGGTGCATTTTAAGCCATATTGGTTATGTTGTGCTTGCCTATTAGCGGAAAGCACTTGCCCTTTTGTATCCCTTGGTCCTTCCTCAAAATCAGGTGCGCGACAAGTAGAACTGTAAGCCTAAAGCAGAGTAAATCCTGAGCTTTCATGTCCACCAAACTCACCGATTTACTTGCGTGCAACCCTGCTCATCTCAACTTTACATTCTAAAGGCATTTGGAACGGCGCTTCTTCGTGGCCTCCTTTTCCACCTTACTAGTCCTTGTGATTTTATCAGCTCATGAACTGCATTTCACTGGCTACACACTCGTTCATTCGTCTTTTTTTTCAAGAAAAAATGGAAAGTGTCATTTATTTGTGTGCATGAAAAGTCTCGTCTTTTCTGGAAATGCAGTCGTCTCAACGCGATTCAATTATGTCACTTGACGATCCCCATATCCATACTTGCGTTCATTTTTTTCAGGTCCTCACAAGTCAGTGCACTCATACCGTCACAGTAATTGAGTTAACCATCATGTGGCGTCTGTGTTTGTGCTCTCATTCAATTACCCTTTATTTATTACGTATGACAATTTTAGATGCCGATGGCAAGCGCCCTGTCGACTTTGATTTGCCCCGACCGAATTGAGTGTTTCCTGGATAAATACTTCGTTGGTGCTAGCCAAATTCCTATTTTGAAGTTGGGACTTATTTTATCAGTAGCCTCGATGTAGCATCCATTTTATCTCACATTTCCGCCGACTTGACTACTCCGTTTAGACAGTCATTCTGTTGATTTCATCCAGTTACTGCATTCAAGTCAAAACACGTAGTGTTGTTCACTGTTCTCCATTCTTCCACATAATGCTAGTCGAAAGTTTCTTCCTCTAATTATTCTCTAAAATTATCTTGTTCTCTGGTGTTGCCTCAAAATCATGAAGAATTGGAAGGCACTGCAACGTTTTCATTTACATTGGGCATTTTATATGCACATTTAGTTTTCCCTAAATTATTCATTTCTTGGGGCAGTGCACTATGGGCCGATTGAAATGTAACAATACCTCACCAACTTCATTCATACACATTCATTATTTTGGAAACTGTATCACGAACAAGTCACAATTGCAGCATGTTTAAGCGTTATTTTCTTAAATACATCTATACAATTCCCGTTGGTTGGAGCGTTTGCCTGACCACTCATGTTCCTGTCGTCATTCCACCGTCTCGCGCATCACACAGCCATTCATACTGTCATCTACCTACTCTGAAAATTCTCTTTTTGCTTTACCTTCGGCTAAGCAAATCAATTGGCATGCTTGAGGGCATCAACTCCCCCTCATCTTCCATTATTTGAGACGCGGCAAACGATGTTGCGAAGACCTTTTTTCTCCTTCGATTTGAAAGATAAACTGCCACCGTCGTGTTGAGCTCTCCACCTCCGTCTTTTGCTGCTTCTGCTGTCTTACAGTGAGGTGTGTAAAGTAATTGGGCTACCCAGTTGTGTGTGTGTGGCTACCAATGGGATTCGGACCTTGCCAACATCACACACTGCTGCTTCTGGGATCTGCCGATAGCGTTATTTGGTTTTCATTTTTAAGTGTCCTATTGTTTAACATGTAAGTGCTCCTTTTTCCAAAGAATGTTTAGCAGTTCAAGGTGCGAAACTGGAATTACCCATGCTGCATTATTACCACCTAATTCATTCAGCTCCCTACATTAGGACCTATTAAGCACGTTTCTGCAGACTACTCTCGTTTAGTTTGTCTACTGTTAAAACTAAGATCAGGCCTTGATGTCCTTCTGTGCTATCTGTTTACAAAATCACTTCCCGAGACAACAAATTTTTGGCATTTGATGAGGTTTGAAATGTACCTCAAGTATGGTCTTGATTGACAATTTTGAAAGTTCTTGTAACAGTGCCTCTACCTTGACTCACGAGAAACTGCCTGTCATTTAATATTACTAATACGCTAGTATTACTATTTGTATTTCCACAAATATGCAAAATGACACCCTATCTCAGTTCCGCAAGCGCAGTTTTTTTTCCAACTTTCGTTTCCAGTTCTGAATTGACTGAGTCGTGCAACAGTGTCTTTGTGTCAGCCTGAGATAGAAGTTAGTAATATGATGTACGCTCCATCGGTCGACCTTACTCACCCTACCGATCATATTTATTAATACTTTTCTGGTCTAGGTTGCCCACGACTTAACTCCGCAAAGCTAGGTTTACGCATTTCAGTCCTCAAGATTCCCTCCTCCGCTTCCACCTACTAGAACTAGTAATCAAATCGGTTGTTATGCAGTACAGTGCTAACAAACGTGGAATTGACATTTGGAAGGTTCAAGTAGCTAGTATGAATGGAGACCTGTGTGTCAGTTTGCTTTGAGGAGAGATGCCTTAACGCCGCTTTGAACGATTTGACATGCTAATGAGTTGGCCTGCCCTCTAAATCTGTGGTAAATCTGTCTCACAGTGGAACTAATCTGTTATGGCTCCGTAGCTTAGTTACGTAGACCAAAGGTGTTTAACCCCGCTGGTATTCGTTGCCCCAAAAGGTGCCTGTGGGATCGTGCCAAAGCAGCAGGGTAACCGAGTTTGCACATTCATCGAGGTGTTACGTCATCGAGAACAGTGGGTGTTCACTGCCGAAATAACTGTCCTGTTTAGCTGTCTTTGCCTCCTCCCCGCAGTCGACACGATTCAGGCTGGCTTCCTTCTGGGTCGCAGGGTTGGTGCATGTTTGCACAGCCGACAGCTCGGTTCCCGTTTGTTTACGCGGTGCCATGGCCGCACACACACACACACACGCGTGCACTTACTGGTGTGTGTTGAAGTCAACCCCCTTCCATACCCTAACAACAGGTGGCTAAATTAACTTCAAGTAGTATTTGGCTGCAATTAATCTCACATTCAGCAGCATTTCTCAGCCTCCATTTTCTTTAATGATACCCGAAATTATCCTGTATCTTAAAACAGCTCTAGAGTAGTAACTCACATCTTCATCGTTCTACTGTTACTCAGCTTTTTCCTTATCACTTAGTTCATTATTAATTTATCCCTCTCCTCCAAAGCAGTCATGGCTGTGATACGCGTAACGCAATGAGCGTTTCTGATGTTACATTGGATACACCTTCGATTAGCATAGTACCACCTCAAAGCACTCGATCGCTATGTATTTACCTTTCTTAAAGCTGCTGTCTAGTGTTATGTCTACTCTCGACCCCAAAATAGCATTCTGACATGTTTCACTCACCCATCGTTCTTTTTGTGGAAATTAGTACATCACCAATGCGTGCACCTACACACAAAAACACTCGTATCATGAAGATTACTGCAAATAAATCGTACTAATTACTGGGATAAAAAGAGGACGACATCGCCTATAATGAGTAAACACAGTCTTTTTCTAGACTAATTGCTAAATTGGGATTTCCGGAAGCGGCAAGAAGTACGCAGCTACGTATTCGTGTGGATGCAAAGCACTGAGCATAAGCTGCGAACCATGAGGAGCTGCAGGGGAGATGACAGCCTCATTTTGCCGCCTTTTATAGGAGGAGAATGAAAAGACCGTGATCGCTGTGCACAACTACAATCCCGTACGTGAGAACCAGCTGCCTCTACAGAAGGGCGAGAAGTACTATGTGGTGAATGACAGTAACGCGCAGTGGTGGTACGTTCGCAATATGGCCGGTCAATCTGGCTACGTGCCTACAAACTACATCCACAAGCCAAATAGTCTCAACTCTTTCGAGTAAGTCAACTTGATTCCTTTATCGTCTGTGAAATTCGACCGAATCACATCTCAATGAAAATCAGTTATGATTTTAATTGCTTGAAACCGTTTAACTTTGGGGTCATTTAAACTACCAGTCCAATAAAATTACCTTCTTGGTTATTTTTCGGTGGAGCATTTATCATCAGAAAGATTTGAATATTTAGAACTAAACTTTTTTGCCTTAAAATGCGCAAAAACTAAATAACACTGCCTTAAATAGGAGGGATTTTTGGTTTTACTCCGCCACTGGATCCATCGTAATTGCAAATGATTTAGAATTTTATCGTTAATAGACGAATGAAACACGGTGCACTTGCTTTACTTTAGCAAAAAGTGAATGGCTCCGCATTTTAAACTCCATTCGTCCACGTTATGCGGGACGCTGACGAATTTATGCTGTGCTGTATGCATTTTGTGTTGTGCTGTTTATTTGGTGGATTCTGGGGACTTAAAAAGCGACATTGAGGCAAAAATCTTGCTTAGATCAATCTCTCGAGAGCTCCTTACGCTGACAGGTCTGACATTCATCGAATGCCCTCAGCACTATGAATAGACACGCATTTAGCCCTCAAATCATCCCACGCCTAGGTACAGATTGTGTTTGGAATTACATATCCCCCTAGAAGTACGGGCCGACTTTTTTACTTCTTAACATTGATTCCCTGATCAACCGTTGAGAAGAAGATTGTTATTTTTGGCAATGTTCAGACGAAAGGATCACGCACTTGGCAGCAAGAAGATTCTCGGACTTTACAGGTTAATTACAACATTAAAAATGGGTGGTGCCGGATTAAGCTTAGTTGACCGCGTACTAATACCATACATGCTTGTCATTCACTCATTTGCACAAATCGCATTCACAAACTTCATGTCCCTCATTTTTTCCAACAATCCATCTCTGTACGTAGATTCATACTGACGTACTTGCTAGCATTATTTTTGTGCTCTGTACTTAGAAAACTTATACTGGTGATACGAATTTGTAGGGTGCTGAATCCCTATATTACCCCTTTTTTTCCTTTCACTGTTAAAAGACCAGGCGAGGAACGTAGAAATGCCGAGAAGTAGTTTTGCGCAGTCGTGCTTTGTATAACTAAAATCCAATTTCATCCTCTCGATTACACGCAATCACTTTTTGATGAAAGCGATATGGAAATGGTGGGAACAATGCATCCTAGGGAAGGGCATTTTGACTTCCGAAAGAGCCCTTTCCATGATATAAAAAAAATTACTCTTTAACGGATTCCAGCACATCAATGTTATCTTAATTAGAATACTTTGTGCATCCTCGAAGCTGGGTGTGGTGCTTCATTACGATCCCCCATCAATTTTCCCTGCACATGATTTCGACTCTCACCTGAGCGATCTAGCGGTGTTGCAATTTTGTATACTACCCGTTTATCGGTTATGTTGCCTTACATTGAAGCGATATTGTTTAAAATATTCATTTCATGCCGATAATTTCTTACAAAACCCATTCTTCTCTTACAATTTCCATTTTTTTACACTACCTATATAGCTATGCTACGTAAGTTGTATGGTTTTTAACTAAAGTACAAACCTAAGCTTCTTTTAAATTTGAGAGAGCCCCTCTTTAACGCAGGTCTGTACTGTTGTGTGCTTTTGCTATTGGCCTTTTTGTAACACTGAAAATATGTGATGACCTAACTCTACCGTTAGACGGATCAACTATAGGTTCTCCCCGTTTTCTTGCCTAAATTTGTCACCGCCCTCAAAATCTCCGTGTTTCCATACTATCAAAAATTGAGTGCTAATGACAAGCATATCTTGACTTTACCCCATGTGAACTGAAGTACACACCTCGGCTACTTTCCTGAGATGCAAAAAATCCACTCACATCATTCTACATCGTTATTATTTCATATGCGCGTTGTTTGTGGAATCATTAACTTAATTCTATTGCCCTTGAGGAAAAAAACAGATTTTGTGGTACCTTTACGTCAGAAATTGTCATTTTATTACGCATTCTCGTGAAAAGAAGATACCATTAGACTTGTTATTATCGCTTTCAAAAATGATTAGTATGAAACCAATCCATTCTTTACAGTAATTGGCCATAATTGTAACTTCCACTTTTTTAATTTTGCTCGTCGAAGCCTGACCGGCTCTTCATCTCTTTCGAATGTCCTTTACGCTCAAATGCATTTAACTTGACGCCTTATTTTTACTAATAGGCAATTTGCTCGGATCCTTCCTATCCCATTATTTTAAACGAGTGATTATTTGGATAATTTTACCTATTCAGGTTCAATAATGGCATATGTGTGTGTAGGTCAGTTTTGCTAGTAAATCTAGGGCAATTTTCTGACCAGGGTCTAGCTTAAGCTGAAGTAGAGGTCAGGTTACCTGAGGGCGTGTTGGAGACTTACCGCCGCCCTAAATATGAATTACGTTAAGTCAAAGGAAGTGACCACCAAGCGTAATCCTCTATCTCTGCTTGAATTCTTTTTTTACATTTTGGCCCACTAATCTCTGTTAGGCATGCGTTCTCCTGACTTTTGCATTTTTAACTCCACTTCAATGGTACTCTGACCACCAATCGTAGAGCCAAAACGCTGTGCTTAGAATCCCCCTTGGCCACGCGTTAGTGCCATTTCTCCTCCTCCTCCTCCTCCTATTAGCCAGTTGTCTCTCATACGAAATTTTATGTTTTATTAGGCGGAGAATTGTGCGGATAGTATGTATATGCCGTACTGCAATATGAACTTCCCCTGCTGACTTTACGATAGCCCAAGTGGTGCACAAAATTATTGCATTTGTTAGTCTAGAAGTCTGGCCTTCTATTTTTATAGTTGAAACTGAAAACGCTCTTGTGAGTCCGCATTCTCATTGTGTGTTTGAATAGTTTGTTTTCTGATTCAATTAATCAGTTCTTGTGGTCATCACAACTACCTAATGGTTTCAAAGTTGTGCTTGGAGTGTTTCCCCCAGTACCCTTATGCGAGGCAATCCAGTGCGAAGAGCGTTAATGTTATTTGGCACCGCGGAAATAGCACAAATTCGATTTATTTTTATTACCTCACAAGTTGAATGTTATGTGCACTTTTCCGACGCTCTCCTAGGGTATTTAATATTTCATTCAAATTCACAAACGACATTTATTATCCTCTTGCATGCTTGGGTGTGTGGTCAGCATTGTTATTTATTCACAAAACTGAACGCGTTCATGGCAATGCCGAACTATAAGGAAGACAGGTAGAATTTCAAAGCATAAGGGAACGCCAGAAAATAGGCGGTCTGATAAGTCATCAGCTTTACGCATCTAAAACAAATTCAGCCGACGCGTCCAGTTGTTAGGTTTTCCAATAGTTGGCGCATTTCTTCAGTTCTTTTATCTGATTGAAGTCTAACTTTGATGTTTTTATACTACCTTTAAATTGTCTAGCTGGTATTACAAAGACATCACTCGTCAGCAGGCTGAGGCGATTCTTTTGGAAGAGAATCGGGAGGGCTGTTTCCTGGTTCGAGATTCAGTGAGCAAGAAGAATACGTATACCTTATCGGTAACCTCGAAGGATCCGGATGTGTAAGTGCCCCATTATCGTTGTTACTGGAAATTTCTTTAAAAGTGATAAAATGCCGGATCTCACATTGATACTTTAATGGAGTGTGTTGGTTTATTTTTTTTTGTCTTCCATAAATTTCATACTCTCAGGAGAATGTTTATGTCTTGCCTGGTAGAGGCCTTTTTAAGTCCTCATTGGATTTCTGGGGTTAGTCGCATTCAGCTAATGGAGCTGAATTTAGTTGGCTAAATTGATGGGTGAATTTTGGTTTCCTTTTTTGTGTTTACCGGTGTAATTACCCATTCACTTTCTCTTTCTTGAATTGTGCCACTTGTTTCAGCCTCTTTTGCCGATGTGTTTCGTCGAGCATGTTGATTTTTGAATCACTGGGCGTCTTCCATTAATTCTCGTGGCTGTTCCTCTGTCTCCATGGCAAACCTGATTGGGCGCATCGTTCGGTGATTCACTTTTTATCACTATGCTCGTGCCTGCGCTTGAGTCATTTGGCTATGCAGCACCGATTGCGGGCTATTGCCCCAGAACCATGTATTTACAGGCTTTATCGATGCTCCTCCACTTCTAGACATGCCTCCAAAAGCGCTAACTAGTGGCCATCGCAATCCGCTCACTGATAATTCCCGCTAATAATTGTGCTGCTGTCTAAATCTGTCAACGTCCTCTCATGATAAGCGTTTCTCAAGCCTTCGTTGTTCTTGGCATCGACTACTTTGTGGTGGATTTTTCGACTACCTCATAACTTACGTCTTCTGACGGATTTTATTCATCAGATTTCAATTAACAGAGTTTGCTCCTTGAAGGCGATTTCTATCCCTAAAATGATTTCACTCGTTCGAGGCATTTTAATCGATTCTTCAGTCGTTAAGCTGCGTAAGCGTTTCGGCCAACGTCTTCATGATATACTTAGTGTTTAGTGGCAAGTCTCGCTACTTTCACCTTATGCGATGGAACTGCTGCAAGTTGGATTCCCCTCCTTGTACTCTGATATGCCTCGGCCATTGAAAACGGTCAAGCAACTGACTTCGCTCCACGTGCCCAAGAGGCAGCTCTGGGGTTCTGTCCCAGTTGCCAATTTAGGTAACCACACGCGCTTCCGCGTTCGATGACTAACGCCAGTGAATGCGTGTGCGTGCGTGTGCTAATGCGCACGTGTGTGCCACCTTACCCCAAGCTGGCTCCCTATTGGCTCTCCCGTTTCCTACCATCTCTCTCCTCTCCCTAACATGACTCATTCTTTGCTTTGTGGTCTGCGCTGATATTATCACACATTACACTGCATGAATAAGAAACTCCATTTTTGCGCCCTTGGGGCGATTATGTAAATCTACAAAAATGGAGGGGGTGGAAACTGACTGGTGTTTAGAAATGTCTGGGTGGAAGTGAAATTAACAAGATGTAGTAGTTAATACAACGACTTGTTTCTATCATCTCTACTTTCGATTGCTTGTAGCTCATTCTAACGCCATCATTCAGATTAGTTTTGCGTTCTATACCGCAATACTGGTAAAAGTATCAACCGGTTCGTTTAATACTTGCACCTTTATTTGTTGGGATAGTCATAAACATAGGTGGAGTTTTTTGAGTAAATTTTACACGCACAAAGATCTGGGCCCTTGAGAACTGTTCTCTTCGTTCTTTATAAACACGGCTGGTGGCTTGACAGCTTTTTTGAAAATACGGTTGTACATCCAAATCTTGTAGGTGCATGGCCATGTGAAAGTCACTAATTTTTTGCCATTAGTCGACAGTTGCTGCTACCATTGACGTTAGCTTGACAGGATGACGAAGCTTTTATTGCTGGATTTACAAATTCTGTGTTTGCAAGTTTCCCACAGTAGCGCTGACTTACTCATATGCTTTATTCTGACCGACATTACTTTGTAGTCTGTTGCGGTGCTATGTTGGGACAGCTTGGTGATGGTACTGTGTCCAGGGTAGTTTTTTATTGACAGTAGGGTACTATATCTTTCTCATTCAGCAGCTCAGGATTTTTTTGTGGTTTGTTTTAGTGCTGGTAAGCTGCGAGTACACCACTACCATATCCACCGGACAGAGGCAGGCACGAATCTCTCTAACGGCCACACCAATGGTGGGGGCCCAGGTGTCTCGGCCAACGGGAGCGCTGGCAACAGTGCTCTCACCAATGGCGGTAACAGTGCAGGACAGGTGAACGGTGGGGTTAACTCTGGTACTGGTGCAGGCGGTGGCGGTGAGGCACAGTTCTACCTCTCGGAGAAGCATGCCTTCCCGACTATTAGCGAGGTGATCCACTATCACAAGCACAACTCCGGCGGGCTGGTGGTGCGCCTCCGCTCTCCTCCCGTTAAGGACCGCGAGAGTCCTGTCACCGCCGGGATGGGCCTCGATGAATTCGAACTTGACCCCGCAGAACTGCAAATCGATCCTGAGCCCATAGGCAAGGGCCAATTCGGGGTATGGATTATCATCCTCTCCCTGTGTGCTTCTGTAACCACTGTCTTGTGGCTTAGAATTAGGCTTGCTCTTATCTCCTTTTAAGTATGCTACGTACTACTTGGATATCTCTTGCAAATAGTGTCTTGAAAATCTTCCCCTTTTCTTCCTTATTGAGTCACTAGCCTTGTTATTTTTCTGAAGCTCTGAGCTAATTGTTCTGAAGTTACGATTGCGGAGGGAATGCTTTACACTTTCCCTTTCATATGAGCTTCATCATTGCCGTATATGACACCCGGTGAACTTTTTTTTTCTTTTAAAAGGTTGTCAAGCGAGGCAAATTTCGTAACATTCCAGTGGCAGTCAAGCAAATGGTTGAAAACGCGATGAACGAGGAGGACTTTATAGAAGAAGCAAAGAATATGCGGTTAGTTAGCTTCACGTATGTTTTTGTAGCTATTTGTTATTTTTACTCAAGCCCAAAACCCTGTGTCCCTACAATCACTTTCTAAGGCCACTTAATACAAACTAGGAAAAAAGAACTTTCTGAAGATGAATGACCTATTTGGTAGAGTTTCTCTGTTAGGTTATTCAAGCAATGGCGCAGAATCCACCTCATTCATTTAGATGTAATAAACAGTCCTTTTTCGGAGGAGGAAATCAGACTTAGTATGATGTTATGTATTGAAATAAATGAACAATCTGTGATTAATGCAATGAATATTTTATGATCTACATTGATGTTATGTCGTTTA